TTTAGTTTCTGATACAAGAGTTAATTAGAGAGTTAATATTAGTCCTATATATAAGACTTATTTCACATATTTATTAATTTTTTTTCAAATTAACCTTGTTGATATTTTTCTAACAATAATCAAATAGAAGAATGAGATGGGGAACTAAGAAATGTGTTTAGGGTGTTTTAAAAAAAAACATATCATGCTAACTAGTTTAACCAACATCTATAATTTATTCAAATTAATTAACCAGGTCTTATATTAAGAACTAGAAGAGTATTAATTTATGACAAATTTAATAAGTTGGACTGTATAATCACTGTTGTTAGTGTTAGCGAGAGGTAAATAGAAGTACATAAGCTGCATTGGAGACAGGAGCGGGAAGCGTTGAAATTAAACGTTCGATCATATCGTTTTTGCCTTAAATCCAATATCAACCAGTAGTCAATGAGTATGTATTTTCTGATAGCACGCACAGAAGAAGAAATCCGATGATCACGAGAATACGCACAGCAAACGCCGGCGTCTGCACATACACTACTTCTTCCGTCCCTTATTATAAGAGACAAATAACCAAATTACGTTGATAAAAAAATAGTTAAAATTAGTTGATGACAATTAATATGTAAAAAGTATAATGTTTTTTCCAACAATGCCCCCATTAATAAGGAGAGAGAGTATGAGAGGGAACAATTAAATTTTTAAAAGAAAGAGAAGTGGGAGGGAGAGATAGTATGAGTTGGAGACAAAATAACTATGGATAAAATAGGAAATCAATACAAAAAAATAGAGACAACTTTTAAGTGTCTCTTATATATGGGAACATGCCATGAGTATCAAATGTCTCTTATAATAAAAAATGGAGGGAGCATAAAACAAGAAACGGTTTCCCAGAATTTGAGGTTTTGGTTACTTCACGACACAGTTCCTGGCTTATTTATTTATTAACACCCATCTATCTGAGAACAGGGCTTCGATTTCTTGCTAATAAATAAAAATCCAATTAGCTTGCCAGTGACCGAAGCATATTATTAGTAAATAACATGAGGCGACTTGTACGTTGCGCCCGGCTGCCTCGGTTACCAAGCCGTATGGAAGCGTGTTTTGCGGTTGAAGCACATGCGAGTAATTACTTTTTTTAATCATTGGCCCCTCAAAATTAATAATGCTTAATTGCACAGAAACCTGGATTACTCTTGTTTTCATTAGCTGCAACCCGCTTCCAAATTCGGACAAAATGGTTCAATGACGTGTCTTACCTAGCCCCTACTACTTTAGGCCCTCTATATCCGCGGCTCCCGATTGCTATGTTTTGTATCATACTTCCTTCCTCTTCACGTTTAATTACTTCGGTGTTTACAGTTTGACTTGCGTTCACTTCTCATCGGGTTCAATTAATGTCTCACTCAATACTAACTAGTAGCAACGTGATGTCTAATAATACTAATCTGACTTTGTTTCATGTTGACTTGTTACGGGCAGTTAGCGCGCAGTACAGTTTATGAGCACATTTCTCTTAACGAGGTGAAAAGTACAGAGAGTCGTGTTATGCGTGTTAATAAACTGTGAACACTTTAACCCATTTCTTTCAGAAACTCTTGCACATATTCTATATATTGTTCTTCTAAAATGCACGCCATTGTTATTCATTACACAGTTTTACTAGGTAAAAGTTGATAACAGATCCATGTCATGGTGTTTTCATTAAATCGCTTATTACGTCAACATAATATATAATATAACTGACTTCAAATTTTACGCAATGCATGGAACCCACGTTTATTTATCGAGCCATTGCATTTGTAAAATTTTATGTTTTTTTTCCAAAGAGATAATATGCAAAAGTACGTCGCGCAGATACTGGATGGAGAGATATCTAAAAGACACGCATGCAAATCTCTCTTCTGCGGACCGTTTTCTTGTCATGCAGGGTCAGGATGATAAAAAATAGGCCGAGAACATATTGCGCACCGGCCCAGCAATGAGTTCGACGGGAAGTTATGCCTTAGTTTTTTTTTTTTTTGTTTGTATGCCTTAGTTTACATGCAGGAAATAATTATTAATTACTGATCTGTACCAAAAAAATATTACTCCTCCATATTTAATTAATTTGATTGGATTAAAAAAGTTAGGTAAGTTAGTTAATTATAAGAAATATGATATGTTTTTTCAAAAATACCATAATCATCTTTCCTAATATCTTCTCTCCATCTTCTATTTGATTATGATTGAAGGAGCATCTATAAGGGTAATTTAGAAAAAATTGATAAATATGATAAATAAGTCTTATATTTATGATCAAAATTAACTCAATAATTAGGTCCTATATTAAGGATAGGAGGAGTACTAATTACTGATGCATCCACCTTACATTTAATTAATTAATTAAGAAGAGATGCTATCATGGCACGGATGATGAAGGAGGCTTTAATGTAGAATAAGGCGAACACGGTAGGCGCTGGCTAGCGTAACAAGACACTCAACAATTAATCGTTTCGTAAACTCTCAGCTTTTAATAAACAATCCTGATAATGGAGTTTAATTAGAGGGGTGGCTACTAGCTAGTCGTAGATCTTAATCAATCAAACTTAATTGCCCTGTCATTGAGACTTAATTTCAGTGAGGGGAATCTCTTAAATTACATTTTTTCTGGATACATTCCGAGTAATGCCAGTTGGGGTTTGGATTTTCTTATTTCCTGGTTTAATCATTTCCTAGTCATAGATCAGAGATTGGCAGAGCAGCTTATATTAAATATAAGACGATCGAGGGAATAATCGTAGAGCTGATTTGATTAATGGCATACAAATTATATATACATAGATTATGGTGCTAGCAATATTCCCCTGTGAACGGAGAGAACCAAGAAAATTAGGAAAGAAAACCCAGAGAATGTCTCGTCGAGATGTGGTCAGACGGTTGATATTTATACTTAATAGAGGTATAATAATGAATCATGTTCGTCTTTGGCAAGAGTAAAATATGAAGGTGAAAAATCTAGTTTTTTTTCTTCCGTGGGAAGCTGTGTTAAAATATGCATCGCATGATATTCTGCCTGACTGGGCTTGACTCTTTTTTTCTTTTTTCTCCCCCCTCTTTTTATATCTTGCTACTTATTTCCTTCGTTCGTCATAACCATCTTCATGTTTAATATTCTCCATATAATAAGAATATTTTTGAAAACAAGCAATAATTACAGCTTAAAAAATTGGAATGACATATATTTAAGAAAAAAATAAAAATCTAAACTAGGATAAATAAATAGGGAGTGAGAAAGTGTAAATTATAAAAACGTACTGTTGTTCGGTTTATATATCATGCAGTGAGAGAGTTTTTAACTAGCATTTAAGTCAAAAATTTTATATACCTGACATGATAACAAACACGATTAAATAACCACATGAGGATGAATCTAATTGAAGCGGGCAAATGAAAGGAAGCAGGAATAATGACAAAAATCCCAACAGTAAAAAATATTAATTCATGTTTTTTTGGGTATACAAGAAGGCAAAAAACCTAAAAGAGAAAACTAAGTAGTAGGGGATTGCAATCTTTCCGCACCAGAGTCCTCAAGTTAGGAGGAGCGGTGTCATGGCCGTGCTAGTAAAACCAATCTTAGCCAGAGCATCTGCAATGATATTAATTCATTTTTAATGATGTGAAGAGGGAAAAATGTTATGGAAGAAATGAAACGAGGAGGAACAGAACAGGGGCCTCGGAAAGTGGAACTAAGGAAGCGAGGGGGGGGGGGAGCGTAGTGTGGATGGCAGACGAATACAGAGTGGCTCTTTGCTTGGTCACATGGATTCCTCTGATGTCTGACCCTGTCCTCACCTTCTCAACTCAGCTGTTTGGTCCTTGTTCTTTCTTCCCTGTTTTTCCTCTTACGCTTCTTTTTGTTTGTTGAAAAGAAAAAACCATTTCCCTGCTATGGATTTTTCTGAGAATCTCTGAGTTATTTCCAGCTTTTCGTCACCTTTCTCTTTTTCATGTCCATGTATCCGACCAAATTATTAACAAATGAAACCGCCCCCCGCTCTCCATATTCTATTGCCAATATACAACTACTCCTCCTGTCTTTAATATAAGACCCATTTAACTAATTTGATTAGATTAAGAAAGTTAGGTAAGTTAGTTAATTATAAGAAAAGTGACATATTTTTCCCAAAATACCATAATCATCTTTCTTAATACCCCCTCTCCCTTTTCTACTTGATTATGGGTGAGAGAGTATCTATAGGGGTGATTTAGAGAAAATTGATAAATATGAGAAATAGATCTTATATTTAGGATCAAAACCAACTTAAGATTTGGATCCTATATTAAGGACCGGAGGAGTATATAATATTGCAAGAAGGCGTGCCTCAACAGCTAAAAGACTGTCTAGCCCTTGAACTGAACTTAATAGCCGCATGTCGACAAGGGAGATGACCGTCCCCGTCCCTCCCGGTGCACACCCTGCTTCGTTCACGAAACTGGTATCTGATACAATACACGGAGGCTGTTGTTTCTGGCCCCCTCGCCAACCAACCATTATTTGTATTTGTAAGCTTTCCCACCTAATTAGAATGGACTTGCTGCACACAAAAATATATTCCACTCCCTCACATTTTGTTTGTTTAGAACCAGTTGAATATGAGTCGTTCGACGGGCAAGATACAGCTATTCACGAATCGAGATTTTGTGTGTATATCTTATTCACACTTGTTTAAAGAAAACAAACAAAATCCTATTTGTCAGTTCATAAAGTGTAAGATTTTATAAAATCCATCTGCAAAGAGGTTGTTCATGAGTAGTGTGTTATATATATATATATATATATAGTTTGCAATTGGAGACAAGAGAATCCTGTGTGTGTGTGTCCCTATATCTATAGCTGCTCTTGATGTGGTTTGTGAGTTGTGAGACTTGTGGGCGGTCAAGGATAAAAGGCAGGGGTTTTGCGAAGAAACCTCACGTGCAAGCTGCTGTAGCATTTTGTTTGTTTGAATAATCCAGCTTCAAGTTGCAAGACTTTCTTCCTCGGGTCCAGGATAAAAGGCCGGTTTGTTCGACCATTTGTGATCGTATTCCGCTCCACCTCTGAGCTTATGCTACCTTTCCAAGTTTCTTCCTTGCCTTCCCCAAACTCCTCTTCTACAGCACCTCGCTATTAGCCCTACATCTTTATTTATCTTCCTTTCTTCGTTCCAGCCTCTGTCTTTCACTCTGTCTCTCAGTGCCTTGTTGGGAGGGGAAAAAAAAGTAGTGTGTCCTTTGCGAGCAACAGGGAGAACCACAGCAAATTCTGATCCAGGCGAGCAATAATGGCACTAGAGACTGTAGTTTTCTCGCAGGATCCCTTCTCACATAGTTGCTGCAAGGACTCGTACTCCTTTGCCGCGGCTTGGAACCCCGACGACCATGGCTTCCTTGCAGAAGAAGAGAAAGCCCCTGTTGGAGTGCTCATCAACAGCAACGTAGACGACAGACGTGTCCATGCAACTTGGGATTCTAACTCTTCTCCCGAGGCCTGCACCGCCGGCCCATCACTGATCTCCCCTGCTCCCTCGGGTCGTCGTAAACGACGTCGCACCAAGAGCGCCAAGAACAAGGAGGACCTAGAGAGCCAGAGGATGACTCACATTGCTGTGGAGCGCAATCGACGGAGACAGATGAATGACTACCTGGCGGTGCTTCGTTCCCTGATGCCTCCATCTTACGTTCAAAGGGTCAGCTCAAACTCCAACCTCCTTTTTCTCTGCTAAGTACAGCCCGTCCTGTTTGTAATAATTTGGTCCTTATTTTTGAAGTCAAGAATGAGGCCCTAATTTAATTATGATATTATTACCGACGTAGAACATGGTTTTTGTTTCTGTGGGCCGAAACAGGGGGACCAAGCTTCTATAATAGGAGGCGCCATCAACTTTGTTAAGGAGCTAGAGCAGCTATTGCAGTCAATGGAGGGACGAAGGATGAGGACGAAGCAACAAGAGCAAGAGTGCGGGACGTGCAGCTCGCCCTTCGCCGAGTTCTTCACGTTCCCCCAGTACTCCACCCATGCAAATCAGAGCAACACCAGTTCCCAGCAATGGGCCGTCGCAGACATTGAAGTCACCATGGTCGACACCCACGCCAACCTCAAGATACTCTCCAAGAAACGCTCCGGCCAGCTCACCAAGATCGTCGTCGGCCTTCAAGCTCTCAGGCTCACCGTTCTCCACCTTAACGTGACGACTCACGACGACATGGTCCTTCACTCTGCCAGCGTCAAGGTTGCTTCCCACTTTCTCCATTTTATTAATTATTTTATGCCATGACTGAAGAGGTCTTTCCCCATTTTGATTACGCTCTGTTCTGCTTCTTCTTCTTCTTTTTATTAGAATGCTGAAATTGACAATTTTATATCTGTGATTTGGACGGAACAGCTCGAAGATGGGTGTGAGCTGAACACGGTGGATGAAATCGCTGCTGCTGTGCACGAAATAATGCGCAGAATCCAAGAGGAATCGCCTTTCTGTTAAAACTCGAAGATGTGATCTCTTCTTCGTCTTTTTTTTTTTTTTAATATTGGGGATATCTTATCTCTGGAAAGGCGGGGATATAAAGTGTCGTTCTAAATCTAATTATGATGCCGTCTCAATCGACCCTGTGAGATAACTAATTATGAAAAAAGATATTAATATTTTAGTGGAGAAATGCGGTATTGTTGTGTAATGTATGGTGGCTGAAAGCATTGTCCCTGCGACTATGCGTCACACATCTCCAATGCAATTACAAGATTTTTCTTCTTTCCTCCCTTGCCACTCCAGCTGTCGGAAACTAGCCCCAGAAAGTAAATCTTAAACAAATGGTCAAATGAAAAAAACATTGAACAAAAATTAAAGGGGATATTCAATTATGGACGGCATCCTATATATCCTGCCGTTATCCGTATAGATGATGGATTATTAATTAATGTTAATGTTGCTTACGTTGGAATTAGATTTGATGCCTTGCGTTATTACATGTACGATACAATGAATTACTCTCACTTAATTTTTTTTTTTTGGGAAATAAAAAAAGAAGTAAGTTTCGAATCGCTTATACGGGACGCAAATAGCTAGAATTGAGGTTTTTGTCTTTTTTGGGGTCAATTGGGGCAAGATAACATATTGCCCGTACAACAAAATTACCTAATCCCAACCTTTATATGATTGGAAATCACCAACCATCAGATTTTTGGCCAGCAACCGATCATCATTTTAAATTTATTTCGCCCCGTACATGCTCTCTCTCGCGAGTGGAATCCTTCTTTTCTCGCTTGAAACAGGCGATAAATTATCGGAGACTGAAATTGAGACTATTCAGTTGCTCCAGATTTCGAGAACGCATCGTACGGTACTTTTGATTGCCTTGTCGCATAGAGATTTCGGGAAACAAAAAAAAAATCCAACGGCCATAAACTAATAGCGTTCCAGTAAATCGACGGCAGGCATCCGTAAACAATAGAATAATAAAAGAACGAACACGCACACACACACAACGCCATTCGGGGGGCTGAAATGTTCGTAAATTTGCTCATTTGAAACAGCGTAGTCTTAATTTTACGCATTTTAATGCTCTTAATCATCTCCGTGTTCAAGGCTGAATTAGAGACCTTCGATTTTTTTAATGATAATGAACAATAATGTCTAGCCTTAACAACATTTCTTTTGAAAATTATCCACGCACAATTTTCATTTGAAAAATTTGTAGTGTATGATTTTAAGGGAGACATTCGGGGTCTGGCGTTTTAACTATAGGAAATCCAAGAATAATAGTAAGCTAGCTTCAGTTGGATGGCCTTCACGGTTACGCTGTCCAATCGAGCAAGCTCCCTACATATAAATTAATATGAGCTGGAGTGCAGTTTAATCATTCGGAGACTCCATTATATTGCCCGATTATGAAATTACATAGCTATGGCTACCTCTTCCCAAAACCTTCTCATTCGTGCCCCTGGCTTTAATAGAAAGAGATAAACAAAAAGGGAAACAAAATATGAAAGAAGATCTATATATGGATTGGGTTTCAAGTTTCAAATTTCTAATCGAGATCAGGGCAGAATCATTACGACCAGTTTAACAGCAACACCCACCATTCCTAGTGATTAAATTAGAGAATGGGTAATTATACACGTACCTTCCATTTTGTCTCCCACATGTAAATATTCTTTTAGCGTCCTTTTTAATTTCTTTGTTAGCTTCTCATCAACTGCACGATGCATCTATTAGTGCCCACCCGTTTGGAATTCTGAAGAGAATAATAGTGCTCCGCGAGTTTTTGTATATATTCGAATATTAATCACACTAGAACCAAATTAAAGGGTACGAACATTGGCTGTAGGAATTGGATCGGCCAAGAAAATTAACGAGAGAGGTTGCAACCGACAGACAATCACACCATCTGAAGCTGAAACCTTAACTAACAATGGGCAAAGATGCACGTCACGCACGTATGATAGAATACCAAACATATATAACAAATGAGAGGAGCACTCCAGCTATTTATACTGTTCACCCATATATTATGCGGCTTTGAAGGGTTGTCGAACGCCATCATCTTTATCACTAGGCCACCTCGGAGACATGGGCATCACCAATAATTAATACTCCTTCGGTTCTTAATATAAGACTCAATTCTTGAGTTGGTTTTGATTCTAAATATAGGACCCATTTTTCATATTTATTAATTTTCTTTAAATTACCCTTATGGATACTCCCTCAACCATAATCAAGTAGAAGAAGAAGAGGGTATTAAGAAAGATGATTATGGTATTTTAGGAAAAATATGTCACTTTTCTTATAATTAACTAACTTACCTAACTTTCTTAATCTAATCAAATTAATTAAATGGGTCTTATATTAAGGACCGGAGGAGTAATTAAAGACATGGTCCAGTGGAGAACCTGCCTATATAATTTGCCCCAGGAAGTAATCAATGAGAATAAACGAACAGCATCGATCATAAAAATTCATTCACCCCGAAAATCTTTCAAGAAACTCGTATCATCATTTCTTTTAGTTGTTGTCCCTCTGTTATTTACATGGTTTATTTATATTTTAATTTTTTTGGGTTTCCTTTACAATTTTCAACTATATATGTTGGTAAAACAAAAAAAAAAATCAGTTAGGTGTTGATAGCCACTTGGCAATAAATCATGTCAATTCATTTTAATCTGGAGTTTGCATAATTTGTTTATTCAATTGAATACAACTATTTGGCCCAAAAAAATTGAATACAACTAAATTATTTGTGACGTCTTTGACCGCATCGATCATCTTTTACGCGTATTCGAAAAGTTCCACCTGGATTAGCTATAAGATACATAGAAATATGCAAATTTTTAAAACAGAAGTGTAGCCCGCAGAGGCGTAGACTTACGAGAAGAATATATGTGTATATATATTTATTTTTATTTATATACAGTTAATTTTTGCAAATAATCCAAGTCACAGGTCATTATGTGCATGCCATTTTTGAAACCATATACCGCCAAATGCATAAGATGGCTCTTGTATCTTTACTCTTCTACTTTCGTCCCGAAGAAGAAAGTCTTCACCAACAATAAATCGCTCTGCCTCAGATTCAGTGGCCATGATCATTGGCCTCGCACTATCGTGCCACACTGCCATTCGTGGCCCCTTCTGGTTCCACATATGGTCAGCCTAACTCCCCCCCCCCCCCCCAAAGAAAAAATCCTCTTCTAGCCAGCATCATCATATGGTAATTACTGATTAACGCGCACACTTTCCCTTAACAACGTGTAAAGCAGAACTTATGCGTGTGTATGGGTTCATGATCCTTAATTAATTCAACCGGGTAAGAGGGCGATATATATATTGATGTACCTCGGTTTGATTTTTATAATAGCCCATTTAAGGAGTCCAACATTAATTATTAATAGTAATATCGTTGTTGCGGCTGAACCGTGATAACTGGGGGAAAATTCGTCACCATATGAAGACATGACATCAAATTTATGATTGAGAAATTTAATTATGATGGTTTCTCTCGAACGTCCCATTTGTTCATGTCAACTTCAACCCAAGAAAAATTAAACAAGAGAAGAGGATAATATCCTTTCACTTTCAGTCTGATACAATGTGCCACCCCTATGCCCATAGATATCTTTATATCTCCCCCAGAATATTGTAGATATGTCGTTGCTGTATTACACGCAGAGAACGTACTAAATTGATGCTTTGAAAAACAATTCAAAGCATGAGTATGGGTGGACAAAATACTGTTTCGAAGAGAGGATGATATGATTATGATTTGACCTTGCTGGATATGTAAAATTGGTTCGTAAGTGATGTGTATATGCTTGGTCCACCAGTGCAGCCAGTAATAATCATAAGCAATTGAATGTATTTTCACATCCAAGTCATGGAAGATCCATTAGATTTTGTTCTCACTTTAGGAAAAAAAGGAAAGATTTATAGAGGCAAACCTACCTTGCCTTAACAAGCTTTCCAAGGGCCAATGCTGTCTTATCCATTGATCGATCGACACCACTGTGGCTCCGTTTCTAAACGTCCTTTTTAATTTTTAGGGCCCCATTATGTTTGTTCTATTTCTCTCCCCTGTCAAACTTCGACTTTCGTCGTGGAATGGGGTCATTTCACTTCATCTCATTTAACCCTGAAGGCAAATCAAGACATTTTAAAGTGCTTGGTAGAGATAATGGCTGTTGGGAGACATTCGTCTTGACTAAGCTAACCAGTACCAGTACAGGTTATTAGTTTTGAGGTATGATCCAAGAACTCTCGCTCGCAAAGAATATCATGGGAGTTCCAAATCATTGATTTGGAAAGGAGACAGCTTTCTCGGGAAAAAAAGTACATTTGCCATTTCAATTCGCCAGGGGAAAATGTTAACAGAATGTTCTTCCAAAAGCCTTGACGACATAAACAAATGTGAGTATACACACTGCATTATATAGCGTATGAGAAGAGAAATATCACTCATAACTTGCAGATACTATAATATAAAGGGATAATTAATCCACAGCTCCTTATAGTTTCAACTAATTTTGAATCAGGTCCTTATAGTTTTTTTTCTTTTTATCAGGTCCTTATACTTTCACCTGTTTTTAATTAGGTTATTGTATTTATTTTTCTTTTTATCAAGTCCTTATAAGTTCACCTTATTTTTAATTAAGTCCCTGAATTTTTTATTCTTTATTTTATAAATTCTAATAGTACTATTATATAAACATAAAATAGTATATATTATTTAATATTAGTTTATAAACAATAATATTCTAGAGATATTGAATTATTATAATGATTTTAATTTTTTCAGCAAAAAAATTAATTGTTCTAAAGAATTTTCCTGAATTAATTAATTCTATTACTTTTTTATTACATAATTATTAATTTAATTTAATTATTAATATTTTATATTTCAGTATTAATCTATTTAATTAAGTTTATATTTAATTAATAAATAAAAATTAAAACTACATGGACTTGATTAAAAATTTAGTGAAATTATAAGGACTTAATTAAAAGAAAAATAAATACAAGGACCTAATTAAAAAAAGGTAAAAGTATAAGGACCTGATAAAAAGAAAAAAAACTATAGGGACCTGATTCAAAATTCGTTAAAACTATAAGAACTTGCAGATTAATTAATCCTAATATAAATAAATTATATATATGTAGATAAATTAACATTTAGGTGCATCAACTATACCTGTCGAGAAAAGGCTTATTGGCAATAAATAAATGAATTACATTCCACTATTACTATTCTTCGAAGCAACCAAGCAATGGAAAGCAGAGACAAGTAATGGAAGAGGAAGCAATCATTGCTATGTGAATGTTTCTTCGAGTAATAATTAGAGAATAAATTTTTATGCTTTTTCGGTCTTACAGAATAAAACTTAAAAAGGTTGCCTGGACCCGTTTAGGGTTTCGACCATGAGTGGGCACCCAACCCTCGCGTTCAAAGGAGCTGTGGCATCATATCACTGGTCAAGTTAACGCTGAATCATGAATATGACATTTTGGCTAAAATGAGATTTTTTTTTCTTTTCTTTTTCTCTGATTTCTTTTACCAGATCATTGGACCTTGAACCTTCAGCTCCGCAACATTGAGCAACTTAAGCTATTTCTTATTTTGTTTTTTTTTATTTTGAGTTTTTTTATGGGTCTACAGGACAATTGATCCTCAATTTGAAGGATTTTTTTCCCCTAATTACAAGTATTCTTTTGTTAGAAGTAATTATATTTTTTTTATTGGAATTAGAAGTAATTATATTTGAAATCCTGTTAAAACACTAAATATGAATATTTATTTTAATAAAAATTTAAATATTGATTCATTATGGATTAGTTTTTTTTTGTTAGACCCAATTTCTGAAAAAATTAAGTGGGTGAAAGACGATAGAGCCTGCGTGGTGGAAGAGTCTCATTCTCATAGTTGGGCCGTCAGCTTACATATGATATTTACATGAGCCCAATAGGCTTGAGGAAAGAAACAAAGACGCCTCCTCAGTCAGGGGATCATGTGCCTTTCCTCGTTGCCGGGACGTGTGTAACTCTTCTGCCCAAAATCCCAAACTACAAGTATAACAACCAAACCATTTTAAAATTTGCCTTATTTAAAATCTAACTCTTCCTCGGAACATAATTTTGCTTTGCATGCCACGCGCTTCATGCTTGGTGATTGCGAAAATAATGGCACCCCCAATTCAAACGATGCAGAAGACAGAAGACGCTTGTGTGTACAAGTTGTGATGTTAGAAAATTCTAGCGGGCAAGACTTGAATTCAGACTCTTGTAGCCTCTCGTAGATACAATCCTTCCACTGCAGGAGACTGACCTCTTCATCGAAACTGGGGTTACGTGAAGACATTGTGCAACTGAAGACCGACGCCCTGATTTAAAGAGTGTTGAGTATTCACCACCTTTCTTCAGAAGATTGACCGTGTGTCGTTCAGTGTCATGGTTTATATCATCAACGGGAGAATCCATCGACACAGAACTCGTTCCTTTTCGCATATCATCCACAATCTGTTCACTCTCATCAACATTCGGGCACTCCTTTGAAATTGATTCATGAGCGAACTCCTCGGCTTCCCCTGCTTCTCCTGTTCCCTCCCGGTTTTCAGAGTCCACAATAATTAATTCACCACCATTCCGCTCAACTCGGGCGTCTTCATTTCTTACCACCGTGTTGGAGTTTTCCTCCACGGATGAACTCATATTTAAGATGGCTGCACCGGAAGTGGCATTGTTAGGGACAATACCGGCACGACAAAGAGGACAATTGACATGAGACCGCAGCCACGTATCGATACAGGGGATGTGAAAGGCGTGGTTGCATTTTGGCAAGAGTCTCAAGGTTTCGCCTTCCTGGAATTCATTCAAGCACACTGAACACTCTGTTCCTTCGATCAGTCCCTCGCCCTTTTTGTACTTACAAGCCGTGATGGAGTTTATGATAGACTGCTGCAAACCAATTGTGGTGATCAACCAGATGGGGTGATCAACTTGATTCTCGCGAACAAACTCATCCTCAAGGCTGTCTGATTGGGTGGTAAAGGATCCATTGCGTCTCCGCCCACACCAGTCGGAGTAGCACTTTACTTTGAGAACGTAGAAACCAACAAGAACAAATACGACAGTGAATAGTGAAGCAACGATGGCCAAGTAGGACGTGATCTGATTACTTGGAGGTAAAATGGGCGGCGGAGGCGGCCGTGGAGGGGAGTAGTGGTCTGGAAAGGAAAAGCAGTTGTACGGGCAAGTTGGTTCACAAAAGTCAGAGCACTCTTGGGTTTGATTTGTTGTGGACGATGCAGGGAAGAGCTTTCTGTGCATCCTGGATCTGGAAGTCTCATGAAAAGGAATTACAGACAGAATTTACAAAAAAATGAAAAGGAAAAGTGGGAGTGATGTTTGTGAGAAGCGTGAGATGGGTGTTGTGAGAATTAAAAGAGAAGAAACGATGTTAATAGTTTAACCGTCTCTTTCAAAGGTTTTAGTGTTTGTTGTGATTGGTAAATGATAACAAGTCGGAAAGAAGCTTCGTGCCTCCCTGCTATTTCTGTTGGCTTGTTTAACGACAGATCAATTATGTGGTGTTTGGTTCCAACTGCGGCAGCTTCCACGAAAATACAGCCATACAAAATGCTTTCATCATCTAGCGTCTCCCCTGTTTCAACTGCAGTTTCCTGTTCCTTTGCTGGTATGCACTGAGTTCCTTTGCATTCCCATGCCAGCTATGCATGAATTTAGGGGATTTATAACACTGAAAACACTTGTCATTTTTGTTATTCATGTCTTGAATTTGTCGCCGAGTACATTTTAAAGAGGAAGTGAGCACGTACTCCGAGGAGCATGGAGCAGCCTTCGCAAATGCGTTGGTGCTGAGTTCAAATCAGGATGATGATGTCCCATCCTCAAGTTCGGTGCCTCCACTGCAACTCTCCTACCCTTGCAGAGTGCCGCTGGAGATCGCCGGGTTTAGTCCCAAGAAATAAATTTAAGTACCCTTTTGATGAAGCATGTCAGAGTAGTTTATCCCACAGCCCACAGGTGCAATGGTGATCCCAAATCGGTTCAAAGTTTTGTGATCATCCATTTTCAACTGGATTCACATCCAGCGGACATTCTCTGTTCCACCTGGTTCACAATTTGTGTAGAACCAAACGATTTATGTGGAGATACTCTGTTTATGGCCTCATGTCGAGACCACGAGGAGACCAACAAATAAACCCAATATTTTTGGGCCCGTTCGAATAAACATCAAATACATATGGACCTTATAAAACTAGACCCGATATGAAGAAACCAAAATGAAAAATATCTATTTGCTCAACTAAAATTAAATCATTTTTATTACATTGTTTTATAAATTACGTGGAAGAATAATAATTTGTACAAAACGCGCTTGTTCTTTCTACACTTTTTTTTTTTTGTGGTCAGGTTCTTTCTACGGTTTCAATCACGTAAAAAACCAAAAATCATTTGAGTAGAAACAAAATTGTAAAAGATACCCCAAAAAAAAAAAAAATGGAAATCACCATGGGAGAAACGGTGTCGTTGGAAGCAGGTCCCCATTCCACGATGGCGTAATCCCCTGATGTCCTGCTCCCTTATCCCATACCCACAACCGCTTCCCGTCGCTGCTGCTTCTTCGGCCCCTCGACCCAGTTGCTTCATGACGCTGCTGTCGCCTTGGAACTCAACGACTGGTAATAAAGAATAGAGTGAGACTCAACCTTTCGAGTGGCAATGGCGCTATTTCGTATCTGCGGCCTCCTGTCAACAGCTAACCTCTCCGTAGAACACCATCTTCGCCCGCTCTCTTCTTCCATAATTCTCCCCATCCTTCCCCCGGCAATCTCTCGTTTTGTTGCTCGCCTTCCTCATTTCATTTTCCACCTCTCTCCCTTACTCACCCCTCACGCGATAAAACCAAAGAAATTTCTCATTTTCTACCAATATTGGCCACCGTATCCCAAGAACAAGCGCTTACTTCCTCTCCTTCAAATGTTTCCGATGACAGCCAACCAACTGAGACACAAGCTGAAGAATTTTCTCGAACCAGGTTGCTTGCTCAGAACCTACCTTGGACTAGCACTCCTGAAGACGTTCGTTCTTTGTTCGAGAGGCATGGAAGAGTCCTAGATGTTGAGGTTTTCAGTTCCCTCTTTCTGTTTTTCCTTTCCCGTTCCTTTTTATTTTCGCTTGAGTTCCATTTTCTATTCGCATTCAGCTTTCGTTTTTTAAACTGACGAAGCTTATGTTTTGTTTTTACTCTTAAGCTATCGATGTATAACAAGACGAGAAACAGGGGTTTGGCGTTCGTTGAAATGGGCTCGGAAGAAGAGGCTCTTGCGGCTCTGAATAGTCTCGAATCGTATGTAAGCTGCAGCTGTTGTGTGTGTGTGTGTGTGTTTATTTTGTGGTCTTTTAATTTGTTGTAGTAAAGGTTTTGACTTCTGATTTCATCGATTCTATGGACTTGTCAACGGGAATGGTTTGGACTTAATAATTTTGTTTTGCTTTGTGTCAAAGGTAGGATTAGGCTGTGTTATTAACTGTTGAGGGCACTCTTATGAGGAAAATAGATCATCTCTATTCATGCAAGCTTTTGGAGAAAAACAGGTGATTTATAGTCATGGAGGCGATTGGAGCGTGATATATGCTATAATTTAATATAGCTCATAAGAAAGTGTATATGTTTATGGGGTCTGTATCGTATAAAAATACTATTCCAATTTTTTTCCCAGTATCTTTGTCCAAACACCCGACATGCAATGAATCAATTTTGGGAGGTAGAGGATCCGAACTCTCTGTGGGCGGTCTCTCTTTTAGGATTACTTGTGATCGCTATAACCTTCTCATATGCTCATCTTTAATTGATTACTTCACTATTCTTAACATTCTTCACATCCGGGGGAGGTTTAAGTTGGATATTGGCTTTTTGATAGGAATACGAAGGGCGTATACTGAGACTGGCATATGCTAGGCCGAAAAAGAAGAAAGCTCCACCTCCTGTGCAGCAGAAGACAGTAACATTTAACATATTCGTTGGAAATTTGTCCTATGAAGCAAGGGCTAAAGATCTCAGGGAGTTTTTTGATTCAGGAAGTGGTAGTGTTGTTTCTGCCGAGGTTATATTTCATGACAACCCTAGAAAGTCCGCTGGTTATGGATTTGTATCATTCAAGTCTAAGAGAGAAGCTGAGGCCGCCCTTTCTGAGTTCCAAGGGAAGGTATCTACGGACTTCATTCTCCAGTGAATTGATTGAACATGCTGAATTCATAATTTTGGTTATTTTCATTATCATTTTTTTTTTGGCTTACTGCTAAATATAGTTTGGAGTGCCAATTTTAACCAAGGATGTGGGTAAAATGGCTGTTCTGCAGAATTTTATGGGAAGGCCAATCAGGGTGGCGCGTAGTAAGCAGTTTGTTAAACAACCAGTAGAGGAGAGTGCGAGGTCTGAAGATGAATCTTCTGAGACCAGCGTGAATGGGGTAGAAGCAGATAAAGCTGATTGACACCATCTTACACTATTGATGTTGTATGATCTTCTGCAGAGCTTTTATTTGTTTGCTCATGTTCATTGATATATAAAGTCGTTGTTGATAGAAATGATTCTTATTTTACAGGTGGTTTGCAATGTACCCTTATAAACAGAGACCCATTTGTTACAAGGATTGAATCAATATGTCTGGTGTTTAATTATAACTGTAATATGACGGCGTTCATTCTGCTTTGTATTATTTATTTGTGGTTGCGGGTTGAAGCTCTTTCCTGAATGCAAGCCTCAAAGGCTCAATGCAACTATGACATGCCGTTACTATTCATAGCTCCAAGAAAGAGTTTGCATTTCCGTAGTTCACTGTGAAAAAATGGAAACAAAAGAGGATTCTGAGGGCCATGTTAGACGAAGCAGCGTCGTGATTTGCCGATTGTTTGAGCTGCTAGGAACTTTGACCAATCACGAAAACCACTGCATTTAAATGTCCTGTAAATTCTGTGCGTCCTGCTTGGTTTGAAGTCGCTATATGCTATATTCTTAAATTTGTTGCGGACTTCCTTTATATTCGTGTTGGATGTTTTTGTGATCAGCAATTTCTTCCATAGTGTACAGGAACGAGGATTGGTAAAGACCTTTTTGATCGGGAGTAGATAGGCAAAACCGAAAACCTGTTTCGAGCCAAGTTTTGGCTGTTTTAATAAATTATTGATGCGCGAAAAATCGCCAGATGAACGCCAAATGGCCAATTTCCGATTTGCAAATCAACAGATGAACTGCTCAAAAACCCAAAGAACAAGAGAGTTTTCAACGTCGATTTGTTGGATGCTAAACCGGTCGTGTCCCTTTAATGTATGTTCACCAGTCTTCTTCCATCCGACGACAACGAGGGATAAGTTCGCTTGGATTTACGAACTGAATCAGCTATTGGCTTTGCAGGCATGGGGGGTTATTTGTAGAAATCATGCAAATTGATTGATTAAAGGAAAATTGCACTTAGATTCTATCAAAGAATTAAATATAAAAAGTTTCTTGAATTATAAATAAAAAAGTCTCTTGAATTCATAAAATTATTTTAAAGTCTTAAGAGACTTTTTTGTGATAAATTTTATTTGTTTAATTACCAAATTGTTCTTATTATTTTTTTAATTTGTATTGACAAGAACAGTGATTGACAACTTAAGATACAATAAGGTTTAAGTCTAAAAAAATATAATTAAAAAAATCAGATTTTATTTAAAAAATTAAAAAAAAATTTAGGACGTTCCGTCCTGTCCAGATTCGTCCCGGTTGAGCAGGGACACGGGACAGATTTTCTGTCAGTGTCCCGGTCCGATCCGTCCCGTGAACAATCCTACCTATTACGATAGTTGTTAATCTTTGTATTGTCAACTACTACTCTTTCAATTTTCAATATAAACTAAAAAAAATAATTTAATAATTAAACAAATAAAATTTATTATAATAAAATTCTTTATGATTACAGAAAAATTTAATAATTTTAAAAGATATTTTTGTATTTAATTCTTTTAGGTAAAATCTTAATTATAATTTTCCCCAAACATATGCGTCCGTGTCGCGCTAAAGTCCCCTACAGCTGTTAACCATCATGTGATCGCTATAGTAGCGTAATGGAGACACCTGTTCAACCCTACCTCTCTCTCTTTCTCCATCTTTTTTTTTTTTTAAACATCAAAAGTGAGCACTACTCCGACATGGGCCTTACCTTCAGTTGCCTTCGGCGCTTTCTACCGCCTGGGATTCGGCCTATCACTATGTTATGGTTGAATCTGATTCTCAATTTGTGCCGTTGCTGCTCTGGCAAAGGACCATGATGCGTTTGTTTTATTTAATAATTAATACTGTCCCTGCTGAACTAATGGACAGCAAAAGTATGGGATCTGAATCCCTCATATATTTTTAAAGACATATTATTTTTCTCACCAATATGTTATTAAATTAATCAAGCACGTACGTTTAGATGTAATCCAAGAACGAAGTAGAATTTAATCTGAAATATCAATAATAAATAATGCAAGTCACCCGCCATGAGCAACGAACAAACAGAATATGAAAATATGATACTGAAAAACAATCAAAATCAACCCCAATACCAGAGAAAAATAATACGGGATACTATGTATAGTACTATCTCGCCCATCTCTAAAATCCTACCTCTCTCACTAAAATACCAAATCAAGAAATGTACTGTGGATCATACTCTCCTTCACATACTAACAATATCAAACCCTACCCATGAAACCACGCTACGACCACCTCAGATCTGAAGAAGAAAACCGGCTGCCACAGCAACAGCGGCTGCAGATCCGAACAGTGCGCCTCTGTTCAGAACGGCGCCGCTCTTGGGAGCCGGAGATCCGGGAGCCTGTGATGGCGTCTCACTAATGCTCGGTGCAGAGGCGGTTGGCGAGACAGTGGGTGAGGCGGCGGGAGCCATCGGAGGAGCAGGAGGAGAGGTGGCTGGGGACGAAGCCGGTGGGGTGACGGTGGCCGCTGGGGCAGATGTGGGGGCCATGGACGGCGGAGACGACACCGGAGGAGAATGTGACTTAGGAGCGGACACTGGGGCCGGGGAGCGCTTAGGGGAAGCGGCAGGGGAGGCGCCGGGAGCATGAGTCTGAGCAAAAGCGGACGTGGCCATCAAGGCCAAGATCAAGAGGAAGACAGAGTTTGCCATTGTGGGAAACTCGAGTGAGTGCGAAGAAGAGCAGAGAGTGAAGACGCAGATGCAGGGTGACGGAGATGGGAATAAGAAAGGAAGCGAGGTATTTATATTGAGGGGTCTTAGGTTTTAGTCGGTTTCGAAGTCTTCGTGTCAATAAGCGGCGAGTATTTTCCTCGCAAGTCATTCACGGTCAAACAGTCAACCGCGATGAAAGTTGCGGGAGGGCTCGAAATAAAAAAAGGGGAGAAAATTCGTATCAGTTAATATCCTTTGATTAACTACATTTATTTCACTTTCATATATTTTGGGATTTTTCAACTAATACCTGACGACCACAAATCTCGGGATATTCCCGCTTAAATAAGTAATGGATGGGAACAACAACAATCGTGGGTGAAAGATTGATGATCTGGAATTCAAAAATAATTGTACAAAATCTTATCCCAGTTATTCATATTCATAATTAATGTGTTTTACCGGGAAAAAAGGGAAGAAAAAAAATCAGTCCCGGGGCAAGCTTTCCTGAATCGTAGAATGTCCATGTTTATCCCACACGGGCGGCAGTGAGGACTCAGAAGCACCTTAAATCGGATCATGACTGCTAGGGGGAAAAAATACTGCATATTAAAGTGGGGTGGAAGCCCATTTTTGGGGTGGCATTTTTGGTTAAATCTCCTTAAATAGTAAATGAAGAAAGTGACAAAATAAACGCATGCGTGGGGGTCGTTGGGAGGACCGAAACCCATTTTTGATATTGAGATCACAAGTGGACCAGGGATTGACATTCTGCGGGGTTTATTTATTAACCTTTTCCGATACGAGGCGTGAATAGATACTGATACAGCACTATGACTACAAGAGGAAATTTTCAATTCATGCAATGTGATTCATTTGCTGTTATTGTTGACAGTTTTGCACAATCATCCTTTGCGTTGGTGTTGGCAGTGGTTTATTTGCCATATATATATATATATATATATATATATACAAAGGAGCACCTGTTAAAATCAAACTGTGCAAAATTATCTGACAACAGTGGAGTAAGCGGGACATGGAAAGTGACTTGAAAAAATTCAATTTTTCCCCCTTCTTCAGGCCGCAAAATCCTCTTATTCCCAGAATGAGACCCTAGGCATATCGTCTACTATTATATTCTCGAACCTCTTGTCACCGACACGGCGTACAGATAACGGCGAGGGAAGGAACGTGGGGTGCTCATTTTCATCTACCAACGATTATATATATATATATATATATAATTATATATACTCCTCCGGTCCTTAATATAAGACCAATTTAACTAATTTGATTAAATTAAGAAAGTTAGGTAAGTTAGTTAATTATAGGAGAAGTGTTACATTTTTCCTAAAATACCATAATCATCTTTCTTAATACCCTCTCTTCCTCTTCTACTTGATTATGGTTGAGGGAGTATCCATAAGGGTAATTTAGAGAAAATTGATAAATATGAGAAAGGGGTCTTATATTTAGGACCAAAACCAACATAAAAATTGGGTTTTATATTAAGGACCGGAGGAGTATGTATCTATGTGTGTGTGTATATATTTTTGTTTGTTTGCAATTTTCCAATTCTGTTCAGGAAAAAAAATTAGTCTGCTCGTCTAAAATCTCGGAATTACAGAAACAATCTTTTCACAGTTTTAATGTTTATTTACAACTCATAAACCATGTAGCGCAATTTTTAGATTTTATTTACACGTGAAATATATTAAATTATATCCACACATTATAAATAATATAATTTGTTTTAAAAATCTTGTGCAAGTCTTATTATTATTATTTTTCAAGTCACCTGTGAGTTTTTATTTAGTACGCCAACATGAGTCCAGATTCTCTTCATCTCCCTCACTTCCAGCTCCCAAACATGAATTGGTCGTCATTTGGGAGTTAATACATTACCATGTCACTCCGGCCACATGGTGTGTTTGTTTGTTTTTTTTTTTTTCTTTGTAGCAAAGCACAGTTGGTTTTTTCCGGCTAAAATATACACTTGGTCTTTTAACGTTGTATAAGATTTTAATTTGATTTTTTAACTTTAAAAAACATATATTTGGTCATTTAATCATAAAATTATTAGGTTTTAATAATAATTTTTTTAAAAAATTAAACTTAATATGTTAATATTTGAAAATGTTTTATCAACATTTAAGATTTTAATGTCATCATTTTTTTTAAAAAAAATTTAAAGTTAAAAGATTAAAAGTACACATTTTAAAGTTACGAGAACAAATTAAAATCTTGTACAAAATTAAACTATTAATACTTTAGTTTTTTTTTTTTTTACGGGGCAAAGCACAATTAGTTAGTTTGTGGCTTCGTGCATTTGCGCGCGTCCTTCTAAAGAGATTATAGAGGGTTTGATTTGAAGAAGGATTGGCTGGATTCCATAGTCATGCGGTTCCTTAATCTTTTTTGACAGTCAAAAGATGAAGCATATGAAAGAAATAAAGAAACTCACAAATATAAATGAGCATGCCACCAAAAAGGTAGGGAGCACCAAGAATCTGGAACTGAATAAAAGACAAAACCCAATGAAAGAGGATAATGGAGGTTGAAGCCCTCAGCCCATGCAATAGTGTACCCGACCCACCAGAAAGGGCTAAGGTAAGAATTAGTAAGTTTTACTTCGAGGGGAGGCGGGCTGCCGCGCTCGCCGTCACGCTAACGACTAACAAGAAAAAAGCGCGTCCGGCCACCTCTTTCACTTCAAAATTTCATTTCAGAGCGTTAACCTGTAAGCCACCCCAGCCTTTTGCTTCTCCTTTGCCACCCCACCCTCTCCTCAGTTCTCCGTCTCCATATCTTTTCCGGGCGTTTACCTGGCGTTTACTCTCATCACTACTCCCATATACAAGGTAAATTATCAGCTACTTCATATTTATCTCCTGCTTCCTGGTCGGGATAACTTTGGGACTGCCGTGCTTCGCGTCAAAGTAAACGACCATACCATCTCATGGCGCTTCGTTTTGAGGTTAGGCTTCATTTCGAATCTTGCAGACTCATATGCCTGCATTTATTTGCATCCATCGAGCAGTGCGTATACGCTGATGCGCCCAACTCATAATATCTGAACGCGTTTTATATTTCTTTAACAGTGTGGACGACGTCTGGTTCAGTTGTCTCCTGACGGCTGAAAAGCACTTCTGCATTGCATTCATCAGCTCATAAATATTTCTTGCGATGCTCTGAACTGTAGTTGCTTATTATTATTTGGATGAAATCATTTTTCTTAAATATCTCAAGAGCGTGTTCTTGTGTCTATCGTGCCGAACGCGCTAAACAATCTGCTGCTTTGTTTCCTATCTTAGATTCTTGGCAGGTTCAACCGGGCTCGTGCAGCTCGATTGACACTCCCCCACTATGTGTGCCAGACGCCTTTATTCATGCCAGTGGGCACACAAGGTCAGATTTTAAACTGATTTCCTTGTAATTATTATGGTAGGCAAGCAGCTACTGCAAATATAATCTTTCAAGTAAAACTCACCCTTTCAAAAGTTTTGCATACTGTAAGAGAATGAAATTCACTTTTCATTTGGCCTCCAACTTGTTCTTTTTTAATCAAATCTTCGGCGTCAAAAATAGTAATTTTTGAGTTTTGCACGTGATTGCAATTGAGTCATTTCATAGTACAAAATAGCTTAACCACGTTACTTTAAATGTAAGACGTCTTATTATACTCTAATATGCTTCAAATTTTGCAATAAATTATCTTATTATACTATTATCAACTGCTCATCAGTTCGTCATGGTGTACCTAAATTGGTGTATTTTTGCTGTATTTGTATGGTTTATTGCTGGTCAGGAACGATAAAAGGACTGACAACAAACCAGCTCGAGGAGATTGGTTGTCAAATAATACTTGGAAATACTTACCACTTGGCGCTTCGACCAACTTCTGAGCTTCTTGATGAAGCTGGCGGTCTTCATAAATTTATGAACTGGCCAAGGGCCCTACTTACAGACTCTGGTGGCTTTCAAATGGTTGCTATGCATATTTACTATGCCCCTGTTCAGCGCTATATTCATTAGTATTGCGTATTTGTAGGATAGAATTTTTATACGATTCTAGTTCGTCGTACCACATAACTTGTACTAATTGTTATAGTTAACGGACCAAATGTAAGATGCACAATAAGGTGGAAAGGAGGGTTTAAAATAAAGATCTGTTGCTATTGGAGTGTATATATTTCCAAGTGAAGCAAGTATAAGATGGAATTAAATTTGCATTTTTCAGTGATTTGTTCTGTCTATCTTATTTATGTTTTATTTCACGTGAGTGAGGTTTTTGTCTGCAATATTTTATTAAAATGTGTCTTATATTGTTAAAATATGTAGTAGGATTTAGCCGAAGATGGAGTACTATTGAAAGTAACTACAACTATGAGCAATAAAAGTAAAGACGATGATCAAAATGATATTATAGCTAGACTTGTCGTGTGACGTTAATGTGTTATCTTGTTATTTATTCTGGATACATCCTTTTAACTATGATTTAAAAAAAAAAAAAAAACCTTATATACCAGGTCTTGCCATCTCACAAATCTATTCTGATGATGTTACAGGTGTCACTATTGCATCTTGCTGATATCACTGAAAAAGGTGTGACATTTCAGGTATATTTGAGTTTCATGATATAGACCAGGATTTAAATGTGTGTTTTGTTTGATTCAAGCAAAATGCGTTCTGCTCCTCTTTTGACATTAGTATGCAGTTGAATGAATGAGGTTATGTTTTTGTTTTTCTCCAAAATGTGTCGACTTTTCTCATTGGTTGCCCTAATGGACAGCTTCTGCAGAGATTAATTAAAACCCTATCTTTTTCCTCATTTTGACATTTTTCTTTATCTGAGACATGGTATGATAAAATAAAATCATTTAACTTTTCCTCCTTGCATAGGTGGTGTTCATGGCTTTCTTTGAAAGGAGAATTTGTATTTAGAAGAGAAAAGGGAAAGAGAGAGGATAAGGAATTAACAATAAACAAATTTATAAATTCATCAACAAAATGAACGCTCACACCCGCATCTCAGACAACTACCCTTTCTCAGGGTAACCATTGGTTAAACCCCTAAAATGCTGTAAGAAAACTACTTGATCCTTAAAAGATGTGATGGAAGAGCTATTCTTCTAAAGTTGCATCATCATTTTGCTGAATGCACAATATAAATCCAAGTACATTGCACTTCAATGCCAACCGGTCTTGAATCTAAGATTGAAATTTCTTGGAATAATGCTGCTTAGGCATCTTCCAGTTTATTTGAATACCTCTTTCCAGTTTATCTGAAGATCTCTCATCCTCTCTATTCCAAAATCCTTTTGATCTATGATAATGAACTATACTGCCATTCTGTTTGTTATTTGTAACTAAAGACTCTGTTGTTTTCAGTCACCAGTTGATGGAAAACCAATGCTCCTCACCCCTGAAGAGTCTATTCAGATCCAAGTAGGTATATTATATTAATATTTTTTTCCTGTTATGTTTCTCCTGGCTGTTTCCTTTTGCATCATCCTTAGGAATACAATCTATTTGATATGCGCGGGGCTCTACATACAATGATTGGCTTTAAGTAGAATTGACTTATGTTATGGTTATTTTCAATCCATGGTTTACTAACTGAGAAGGATGCTCCTTCTTTTAAACTTCCATCACTCCATGAATATTTGAAAACTCACACCTTCAGAATTTAAGCCCCTGTGATCAAGAGGCCTTTCAAATACTAGCATCCGGTGGCTATGCTTCACTGCTTATGGTTAAAAATAGTTAGAAAGAATGGAGTAGAACTTTGCCGTGATTGAATTTGTCACCTAACTTTTCCAGCAGATAAAAATTGAAGATCTAATCTGCTCCAAATTCATGTGCTTGCATTTTTTATTAATAAATCCTGCAGAACAGAATTGGAGCAGATATTATTATGGCTCTTGATGATGTTGTTAGGACCACTATTACTGGTCCACGAATAGAGGAAGCCATGTATCGCACACTCCGATGGATAGACAGATGCATAGCAGGTAATTTGTTAGTGAAAAAACCAGCACTCATCTCCTAGGACACTTTATGCATGTATGTATGTGGTTCAGATCTCCTATGGTTGTAATCCTTCAACCACGTAATGACTAAATAACTGGGTATTGGAGAAATTTGGTGCATCAGCTGTGCTGCTCTTCCCTTGATTTCCCAATTTCCCATAAATGAATTTTCTGTTAGTCCAGCGTAATCCTGCTTTTCCATTCTGAATATTTATGTGCATTGCCTTATAAGAACAGCACACAAGAGACCAAATGAGCAGAACTTGTTTGGTATCGTACAAGGTGGTTTAGATCCTGTGTTGAGGTAAATATGAGTGCAAACTTCAACTTTTTGGTTTTTTTTCTTTTTTAATCCATAGCCCTTTTCATTGTTTTACCGCTATGGTTGTTGAAATTTCCTTTAAACCATGAGATAATGCAATCAGGGATATATGTGTCGGAGGCTTGGTGGATCGCAATTTACCAGGGTATGTGTCAATTTATTTGTAATGTATGAATGGCTATATTTTTGTCTCAACCTTGGAGTTATTTCCAATGTCATATGGTTCTATGGCTTGATGACTAATTTTAAATCACTTATGGTATGCCCTGTTTAAAATATAGACTGCATTCTATTCATCAAAGAAAGAATATCTAGACGGATTTTTTTATGTGATTATATTGCATTCTTTCATGCATCCCAGAGTCAGTAACATTCAAACACCAAATATATCTAGAATTGTCAGATATATAGCTTGTCTTTCTAACCACCTGTTATGAATAGACACAACGCGTGCACAGTATGGCCTCGGAATGGGTAGCTTTTTCATTAGTTGAGGAGCTAAATGGATTATTACTTGTTTCCTGTCACAGCTATGCTATTGGTGGTCTTGCTGGTGGTGAAGATAAAGATTCATTTTGGCGTGTTGTTGCTCAGTGCACTGCTGCTTTGCCAGAAGATAAACCACGATATGTTATGGTCAGAAACACAGACTGACTTTATTCTTGGCGACCATTTTTTAATGTATTTGTATTTACTATTGTGATATTTCGTTGGGCTTGTTTCAGGGAGTTGGTTATCCACTTGATATAGTTGTTTGCAGTGCTTTGGGTGCCGACATGTATGACTGCGTCTATCCTACCCGTACTGCACGCTTTGGCACCGCTCTTGTTCCTGAGGTGCTTAAGTTTTGTCCTGTTAACAGACAGTTTGTAACGTTCTAAAACATCTGGAAATATATAAGTAGATAGACCTTACTCAGTGTAGAATGTGAGACAGCCAATTTCAACCCATTCTAATAGTTGTATGTGTGCTAGGTCTGGCACATTGCATTGAAAAAACCTATTATTTCACGAATGATGTTGCCTTTATCTGCTCTCCTTTTGTTGAAATTTGCACACATCTCATCAGTAACATTCTAAAAGAATTTCACAATGACGCCTTTTAATATCTGTTCATTCACTATGGATTTGGGAACAACAACAGCAACAAATCTCATTGCACTGGATGGGATTGGTTACATGGATCACATAACGTCATTGTGCTCTATCAACAACCAACTCCTTATATGCTCCTCACTATGAATTTTAGAACTTATGTAATTTTAATACTTTTGTAGGGTGTACTGAAACTTAAACATAGAGCAATGGCTGATGACACTCGTCCCATCGATCCTTCCTGCTCTTGTATGGTATGCTTGTAAGAGCACATTCATGTTTGATGAAAACTTCATAAAACATGCCTTTCAATTTATTTCGTCTCCCATAGGTGTGCAAGAACTACACCAGGGCTTACATCCATTGTCTTGTGACAAAAGATGCTATGGGATCTCAGCTTCTGTCATATCATAATTTGTATTACATTATGCAGGTACGAAACGCTGTTATGAACTGTTGTTATGTATTTATGATTCATGATATTTGTATTCATATCGGTGATTACAGTAAAGGTCCTCTTGAAACATGCAGCTCAGCAGGGACCTACACTCATCAATAATCGAGGGAAGGTTGCCAAAGTATGTCTTAATGATTTCTTCCAATCTTTCTATCTAAATATTCTGATCCAAATTAATGTTTCCTGACCAATAAATTTATCCCTCCTCTATATGGCAATGACATTTTTATTTTTTTTGTTTTTGTAGGTTTGTATGTGACTTTCTACATAATATGGTATTTACTGCTAAACTTTCCCCAATCATAACTGCGCTCTACCTAATACGTGCATATTCTTTTGTTATCATATGCGCAGCAAATAGGCCATACGCCCATGCCTCTATGAAAATGTTAGTGTTTCACACAGCTCCCCCCCCCCCCCCCCCAAAAAAAAAAAGAAAGGGAAAAAGAAATGCTTTCTTGGATCTCTTAGGCATCAGGATGCTCAGTTAAATGAGACTATTTTAGCCTCCCCCACCTTCCGTAGTCTCCTGCCACCGCTTAACCCACGAGTCAATGACCTTGCAGTCGTTATTGAGAGCGGATGGTATGTTTTGGGTAGATTTTACAGAGGCCTTGCAAGGATTGAGACATTGAGCCATTTTAAGCTTAATACTCGTTTTTGCCCCAGACTTAGCCTTGGGTGCCTATTTCTGGAGAGTTACATTCTGATCTCTGATAGGCATTTCTTGCGAGTTTTGAACTAAACGTAGATATGAACTTTCTACTTATATGGATAAGACTCATCTTTTTATAGTTGATATTTGCTAATTAAAACTACTCATATCCTCATGCTGCAGTTCCCGGAAGGTGATGTTCCGGAATGGGTCTGCAATGCTATGGAGGTGGCTGGAATTAACATTTCTTCCTGCTGCGCTCCGTTCTCATCATACCAAGAACACAATTCCGAAAATTGTTTTAGGGAGGAAGAGATGGAAATGAAGTCGGGCAGGCTTTGAGGTGGAAAAGGTCCGGGCGGACGGTATACAAATTTTTCCTTTTCGAGAGAAAAAATATAATTCTCGATAATTATACTTAGAGTTCTACTTCTGCAGAGATTGAGCATTTTTACTATTTGAGATATTTCCATATGTTAAATTTATAATTTGTCACAAATTTTATAATTAATTATTTTTAAAACTTGGGAATGTCAAATTTTACCGTATGATGAAAATGCTCAATCTTTTGAGAGGCAGAGTTTTCTATAGTGACCTTGTAATTACTGGCAGCATAAATTTTGTAACCTTTCTTATGCTGCCTCGGGATTATGCGTACAATCAATACTTTGCCCCTTTTTTGGTTTTACTCATGTTTTACGCATTACAATGGGCGAAAACAATCATTCTCTTGTGCTGCAGCCAAAGACTCTGGTGTTGTCATGTCAGGTTAATGGAATTATAGCATATGCGTAATTTCGGGGACCCACTGTTTCTTATATGTTTATTTGTTATAACCAGTTTTGGTTTATCACGTTTAAAGCTATGTGTATTTGAAATCTGCAACTCCAATCTATCCATGTGTCACTGTTTTTTCTGGTCACTGCTTAGGTCAATCTATGTGCCGCTGCTCCTAAAATCGAGACCCTCGACCAAGAGAGAAACAAGAGCATCCGTTACCGTCACCCCTTTCATGCTGCCATAAACCAACCTCAATCCTCTATTAACACAAACGTCTATTGAATTCTATTGAATTGGAGTTTGGAGGAGATGGAGTAAAACTTGGAAGAGAAGGGTCAATTGAATTGATTTTTCTCTCTCGTTTTTTTCCCCTTTTGGTGTTTTTTTTTTTTTTTTTTTGCGGTACCAGAGAAAATGAAACAAGAATGAGACGAACCCTAATATTCAAAAGCTTGTTCTTATACAAATGTTTGGTGAAGCAAATAGAGTCAAACTTCTTTATGTAACTGTTGCAACTCTGATTGAAAAATATATTTCACATTCTTCGTGATTGCATCTATGCAGAGCGTTTCTGAATGAAAATCTTAAATCGTAGGTATATTTCCTAATTCTTTAATGCTTCTTTACGTGATTGGATGGCTTTAAACTTGAAAAGCGAATCAGGAAATAATTTGTCTGTTTGCTGGAACCAAATTTGGGGAGTGTCTATATGGAGGCTTCAGATTTGGATGAATTGTTCTATTTTTAATGATGACTTCCAAAGGCAAACAAATCCTGCTGATATGATTTTGAAATCTTGAAAATCCTTTGTAATAGCTAATGATTTAGCTTCAGTTGGTAGCTTATCTGTTACTAATGAGTCAGCAACTTGGGAACCATCTCCGGTTGATTGGATTAAAATCAATGTTGATGGTACTGTGTCTTCTATTAAACAAGTAGCTGGATGTGGGGGTTTCTTTATAAATCACAATGGTAAATGGATGACAGATTTTACACATGGATCAGGAATATGTAATGCTTTAAAAGCCGAGGAATGGCCAATACCTAAAGGTTTCTCTACGGCTCGGGAGAGGGGATTCAAGAAAATAATTCTTGAATCTGACTCCAAAACCTTAATTGGCATGTTATTAAGCAACTCTATACCTGGTTCTTGTAGCTTGGTGTTTATGCAAATTAGGAATATGAAAGCTCTTGATTGGGACTTACAGTTGAGATGCATTTCCAGAGATAAAAGCTCACTTAGTGATGCATTATCAAAGGAAAGCCTCTCTTGTTTAACTACCTTAGATCGATGTGCACGACATCTAGTCACTTGCTGCTCATCAACGTTACTATTAATTTGGGCTTTTGCGGTCATTGTTAGCAAAAAAAAGAAAGGCTTATTCTTATCTTAGTCTAGTATTTTTTTTAAGCTGTCAGTAAAAATAAGCAGCTTCAATTTCGATATGGGGGACTTTATGGGAATTTGCTTTTTCCTCAATTAAAAACATGTGGAGTTTAAGACCGCAAATTAATAGTAACGTTGATGAGCAGCAAATGGGTTATTGACTTGTTTTCCTCGTGTGGAATATATTGATTATGTATATTATGGCATGATATGTTTTAAATAAAAAGAAGATTAAAACGCAGGGGCCTTTAAGGGGAATAAATCTACTGGAAAGTCATTTTTTGATAAAAGGAGGTAGGATCCAATTTGACAGAGGAGATGTGATGGCATTAGATCATGAGGAAGCATGGGCGAAACCAAATGAGGAGACAAGCGCGTGTTATTTTGAAGGTCACCGTCACAGTCCTCGGGGCTTCCTTGTCTTTGTTGCTTCCTCGCTTTGTCTTCACCAACTCCAGTCTCCAATCACTTGTTTCTTTCATTCAATGCCATATGCGTTGACAAGTTTGCCAACAAAAATGCGACATACATTATATCTACTTATCTAGTATAAATTGTATCGCCCAAAATTCATGTTTGCCATCTCCTCTTTTTATCTTATTTATAAGACATTTCTAATATGTTTTACACAGATTAAAAAAACTTAAACTTTATTAATTCTCATTTAAAATTTAATAAATTTTCAATTTTATTCATATTTAATCTATATTATTAAACAAAGTCAACACAATAATAAATAAGAGATAAAATTGCATATCAATGTAAAAAATTTCTCTTAATATCTATAAATAAAATAAAAAAACTTCTTCTCTCTGCTCTATAAACAGAACTAGAGGAGTAATTTATTTACATTAACCATTTTAATTCATACTCCACGTTAAAAGAATTTTAGCTCGACACATTTAGGCTGCTTAATCCGAGTCATACATACGTGCTCCTTGTTTTTCAAATAAAAGCGAAGACCATAATAGTTTTTTCTCCAAGATTTTTTATGGCGCACTTAATTAGTACCTGGTCGTGTTCTATTGGAGTTGGACCAAATCTTGATGCCCGGGTTCGAGGGTATTTCCGTAAACAGAACGAGTTTGACGGGGTATGAACAGTGACTTGACCTGCTCTCTGCCTGAACAACACATGGCAGAATCTTATTGGTGACCAGGAAAAAGTACACCTGGCACCCCAAGGCCCAAGTATACAATTTGGCCACCCACTATTGGTTGTCACTTGCCCGAGAGAAACCCGCCAATAGTTTCCTTTGTAATAAAACAATTTTTAAAAATTTCACGAAACGACAGCGTTTGCCGGTTTGGTTGCTTGAATAAATTTTCGGTCCACGCCTACCCTTTCGGTTGCCAAAAAACAAAAATTGAGGTTTTCCACGCCGCCCCTCCCCAAGTCCCCACCAAGATGGGTTCGGGTTCGGCCTTTTCCACGTATATGGTTTCGACCTGCGATCCTCAAATCCCAACCACCGACTCCCCCCGGTGGGCCCCTGCCCACTCAATCACAGGCGTCCATCTACAAATTCCAAAATTCATTTTTGATTTTTCAACTCTTTCCACATGAACCGTCAAAAGAGATCATTTTGGAGAAGTTCCGCAGGAAGCTCCCATGAACTATCACGGAAGCATCGCTCCCTTTCCTCCTCCTCTTCCTCTTTTTCTCTGTATATGAATCAACCTGCTCTCACGCCGGACGATGATGAAGACCTTCAAATATGTTAAACCTGACGAGATTCTCCAAGCGCAAGAACAATGTCGTCGGGCGGTTCAAGCATGACGCTAGCTGCAAGAGGCACCCCAAACACCACCAATCTCCCGGCGTTTGTTCTCTCTGTCTGAGAGAGAGGCTTGCCCAGTTATCTTCTTCCTCGACCTCACGTGCCGCTCCTCCTTCTTCTGCTGCAACTTCATCTTCTGTTTCGTCTTTATCTTCCTATTATTCCTCTTCTTGCTCTTCTTCTTGCGCTTCCCCTTCTGAGGCCAAGACTACCTCATCCATCTCCATTTTCTTGTTTAATGCCAAGCATGGACTCATCAAGAGCAGGTCAATGGCTGCGGCTTCTAGAAGAAGAGATGCGATTGGTGGTGATGATACGGCTGGTAAAAGTCGAGGGTTTTTGTTCAACTTGCTTCGTCCCAGACATAAGAAAACGGAGCACAGAGATACTCATGATCAGCTCGTTCGTTGCACGTCTGTGAGACAAAATGTGACAGTGGCAAGCTAATATGTAGTGAAGATCTTTTCAAATTAGGTCGTTGGCTATCATATTGATTAGCGATTCTTTCCAATTCTTTTTCTACACAAAGCTAGGGAGAAAAAGTGAGATCTTGTATCGCATTACCCATGCATTGATCTGTATATAAATTCATGCATCACTCTCTTCGTATCGCGAAAGAGAGAACGATAGCTAGAAAATTTAAAATTAAATTAATGGAATCAACGAGGTCCTCTATCGTTTCTATTATACGTTGTATATATTGCAGAAAACATTCATCACATGTAGAATTGAATAATTTTATCATCTTTTTTGCTGCTGCTGTTTTGCTCTGTCGATCATAGTTGTGAATGGGCTAACAAATTACTCCATTGTTAATTTTATATATACTCCTCCGGTCCTTATTATAAGATTCAATTTGACTTTTTATTTGGTCCTAATTATAAGACCCAATCCATTTTCTCTCTTATATTTATGCATTTTTTTCCAAGATAATCCTTCTAATAATGATAGTTTTAGTCAATATACTTAATTAGTAAGAATATTTTAGGAATAACAACACTTATTATTAAATAACCAACTTAACTTACTTCCTTAATCTCCTCAAATAAGTCAATTGGATCTTATAATTAGGATCGGAGGAGTATATATATATATATATATATATATGATGAATGAATAAGAGACGCATACGCATTATTAATGGCTTGACTGCTTCGATATCTGTTTGTTATTAATTTCTAATCTGCATCATCGACGAATAAATTTTCTCGAGGTTGCAAATTCCAGCGGTTTGTCCACCGTGTATTGGTGTTTGCGACTTTGAATTTTCATATAGTATTAATTTTTATTTAGTCGTCGGTCTTCTTTTTTGGCCAAGATCAAGTCTTTAGTCTTTACACATGCACGGGTTAGTCGTAAATGAAATTGGAAAAGCCAAACCCTACAAGGCAGCTCCTAGAATACCCGTGGGGCCGGCCGTGCACAAACACAAAGACTTGCAATTTCCCCACTACAAAAAAATTAACTTTGAGGCGACAAAAAAAAGAAAGACACTTTTAGCAGCGACTTTTAGAAGTTTTAATGGTAACAAATATCGTCGCTGAAAGTGATGCCTAAGAAAAATTAGTTTTACTGACGCCACGTCCATACCACGTTACCGCTCAAATATTTTCATCTTAAATGTGTTTTCTTTAGAGTTCGAACTTGTGACCACGACCAATCGTCTTACCACTAATAAATATTGAATTTATTTATTATTATAAAATAAAATATATATTATTAGATTATACTTTTAATGATGACTTTTTATTGTCGTCGCAGGAAGTAGACTTTCAACAGCAATTTTTTTTGTCGCCGACAAAAGTTGTTGCCATTCTATTTTTTTTGTAGTGCCCGTTGCATGCGTTGTAAAGTTCAAACTGGTTAGTTGGCACCACAAATTAAAGCTGAAAATAAATGCCCTCTCCCATAGGAAGAATTATGCAGAATTTAAAATTGGAAATGCCGGAAATTAAAGAAACAACACCGGGATCCAATCTTCACGCCTTCGCGGTGGTTTCAAAGGGTACATGATTTCGTGCAAGAAAAATCTTTGCCCTCGGAAAAAAAAAAAAATACTGATATATAATCGACATTTAATAACAAGAGGTGGCTTTGACATGTACGTGGTAGTGCAACTGCTGATAACATCTGTAAGATGTATTGGCTTACAAGAATGGATTGCTAATAACAAGCTAGTTGATTAAGAGGAATCAAGACCTAGGAAGAAGCTATCGACTCTTAAAGAAGTTCCTTCCTTGATGCGATCAACATTTAGTGCCTATTTAGACAGCAAATCGAAATGATGTGACCACAACTTCATTAGCATGGAGTATAAATTTGCATCAAAGACTAAGTCACCGGTAGTAAAAAATTTATTTTATATAAAAGTCAGAGTAATTAATGATAATTACAATTAAAAAAATATGTGAGAGAAAATCAACATGATACTTTTTTTTTTCCTCACAATACTCTTTCTTTATATTTGGTCGGCAAGCGACAGCAATCTGCACATCACATCATCTGGTTTTCAGAGGGATTTTTAATATGGTATTTGTTGGCTGTTGTTTAATAATACACACCAACACACTTAGATGTGCGTTTGTGTGTTTTTTTTTCCTCCCCCCTACCAGTTATGCCATAATGCTTGGTCGACATCTTCAATAGAGTCTAAAACTAGAGAGGCTTGATGGGTGTTAATCTCTTCGCCAGAAGGTCATGGGCTTTTAGTCATATTCGTATATCTTTAAAAACCAAAAAAAAAAAAATTGCTGTGAACCTGCTTGCGACTCTTCCTTGCAGTAAATAATCTGTGCGTTGAGATCTCACTCTTGTAAGCATATGTGCGTATTCGCAATAAAAGATGGCCTGGTTTTCCTCCTGGTTTGCCAAGATAGCCATGGTCATTGGGAATTGAACACACAAAACACACATCCGCATATAAAGAGCACAGCCTGTGACCTCCCTCCCAAGAGGGATTAGTGCCACCAGACCCAAGGGTCTTTGCCGCTCATGGCTAACTAAATTAGTCTTTGAGAGATTCCCAACTCCCATTATGACGTAGCATTCGCTTGTTCGATAAATAATGGTCTGTTTGTGATAAAATATGTACAAGCACGTAATATTATTTTGATGAGAGCTGTACCTATGTAGGACCAAAACTGAGGAAGAGCACACACATCCATGGACAAGAGTCTATGCAGAATGAATGAGGGTGGTGGGCAAGTAATATACAAGTACATATAATATTATTTTGATAAGATATGGACTACGGGCATAGTTAAATAATAAATGTGAAGGCGTGGGATGTTCCAGCTCATAATTAATAAATAGAGAAAGCACGGTCATGATGATCCCTCTCGCTTATTAGGTGGCCGCGGGGGTTTAGCTCAGAGTTGGCAGAATTAAAAAAACACTGCTTGTACAGCACACCCGTGACACCATCAGACTTGTACGGCAATGGAATTTGATCCGCACCGGCACCGCACCGCCTCTCCCAATATTAAAGAGTCAAGCTTTGTGATCGTCTAAATTCTCGCCCCATATGTGCCGATGCTTTTTGTTTTCCCGTCCTGTAGATTCTATAATGAATAAAATGAACATGCAACTCCCGTATAAATCATTGCGTATCATTATTTGCAGTAATAGTGTGGGAGCGGATTCTCTTCAGACGTAGGAGGATTCATCAGATAAAAGGAAAAAGAAATAAAATTGGCTTAGTCGGCCTCGCATGTTAGAGAAGGCCTACAAACATCTCTCTTCTCCAAATCCACTTGACGAGATTCTGGACTCCGAATCCTAAAGTTGTGTTTTTTAGAAGACTGTACAACAATCACACACTTTTTTTTTCCATTGATAATTAATCACACAGATGCTGCTATGATTCCTGCAAATGGTAGTTATTATTAAACAAGCCAAGTTCTAAAAGAACTCTTGGCTCAGACTGTATCACTACCAAAGCAACAGGGTTCAGCTGGATTCTAAAAGCAAAATTAGGCAATTACCACAAAATGATTTCTTCGTAGATAAGTTATCGAGTCACAGCAATATTTCTTTTTCCACGTAAAATGATTTCTTGGCGAAAGAATGACACGTTTACCATTCATTGCTCCCCCCCCCCCCCCAAAGCAGGACACCATTCCACACTGAATCGCATCAGTGCGACCTCAACTCACGTGGCTGACACATCATCTGATTCCCACAGTTTGAACTTAAAGTCTGATTTGCGGCTAGAGGGTTTTCAATGGGGTACTAGAGGCCCGGTTGCGGGAAAGGAGAGAAAATGAGAAAAGAAAACTTGGAGATGGGCTTTCCTTAAAATTTAAGTATATCGCTGGATGCACGAAATAAGAAACAAGGAAATGAAAACCGATGCGCGACTTCTATCCATTAGATGAATTATACGTTATGGAATGTTGCAAAGGTTGACAGGGAATGACGAAATTGGAGGATGTTTTTAGCACTATATAAAAAAGATTTAATTATCAAATCAATTGACATCAAAAGTGTACGCAGCTGAAAGTTCTGGGGAAATAATAGCATATCAATCCAGCTGGAAAATTTCCTATATCAGCTGCAAATTTGCCAAGCAATCTTCAGCAGTTCCGAGTAATAACAGACAATCTCTTCGACTAACTGATCAAGACACTTTCCTCCTATAACTATGCATAGACCCAAGATATATTCTCATTTAATGACGCAACAATCCTGCAAATGGCAGTAAACGTAATAATCAATTTTATCCAGATTTTGGGGATATGATATTACGGCCACCCACGAAGGGCCTCAAGGGCTCAGGAATGACCACAGATCCATCTTCTTGCTGGTAATTCTCGAGCAAACAAATAATCATCCGAGGTACAGCACAAGCGTTGCATTTGCATTTAACAAATGTGTGACAATTGTGGCGGGAAGGTTGCCTTTAGCCTTTTTTGTGCTTGTGGTTGGTGGCCCTGATGGACGATACCGAATTCCTAATCGCCGGCTCTGATATCTGTGCAGTTTGATGCACTTGATATCTGATCATAATACTAAATCACGTGAGAAATACTTCAAGAAGGATAGCAGATAATAAACAGAGCCCTATGATGACATTCGTTAAAAAACACAGCGAGTTGCAGCTTCTGTGTGCAAGCACACGCCCCGCTGCTATACTTGCTTTCTCTAGATAAATAACAAATCAAACATCATCGATGGAAGAAGCAATGCTTTAAGGCCCAGAGCCAGTGAAAAATTTATGGATGCATCCACGAAAGTTGATGAGTCGAGAAAATACCTCACCAAACCGTTCTAAGCCGGGCATCCATGCTTCCACATCATATTAATACTAAATCACGTGAGAAAATACTTCAAGAAGGATAGCAGATAATAAACAGAGCCCTATGGTGACATTCGTTAAAAAACAGCGAGTTGCAGCTTCTGTGTGCAAGCACACCGAGCTGCTATACTTGCTTTCTCTAGATAAATAACAAATCAAAATCATCGATGAAGAAGAAGCAATGCTTTAAGGCCCAGAGCCAGTGAAAAATTTATGGATGCATCCACGAAAGTTGATGAGTCGAAGAAAATACCTCACCAAACCGTTCTAAGCCGGGCATCCATGCTTCCACATCATATTTTCGATAAGCAGGGGCACCTAAATCTTCCGAGGCCATATCCAAAGTTCTGCCCCAAAAAAAAAAAAAATCACATCACACAGAAAGAAAAAGCAAATTATGTTGAAGATTAAGGAAGGGATGAAGTAACTCACTTATAATGTAAGCCTAGGGATAAGAAGAGGTCTTCCTCCATTGTAATAAGCTCCTCGTGGTAGCGTTCACTCTCCTCAGGGCGGCAAAATATAAACATCTCAACCTTGCTGAACTGGTGAACTCTGTAAAGACCCCTGTATGATATAGACATCAAACAGTATTATTCAAGGATTTATAACAGGATCAATTTGTATTGTTATATCTGACATTACTTAAACAATTATACAGATCAGGAAGGTGCTGGAGATTCTTCTTTTCACCATCAGCATCTAGGATAAGATGTTAAATATATAGCAGATACAGATGGTCCAATAAATTCATCATGAATAACGTAGCTAGAATATGTGATGTAAGGTTTGTCATTGGAGATTAAGCGCTCACACACACACACACACACACACATATTAATAATTTGGGATTTAAAATTCATTTGTTGGTCTCCCAAGATATTTACCTTGTAGCAGTACCAGCAGCACCAGCCTCAGTTCGGAAACAATGAGAAAGTGCTACGTATTTCAATGGTAACAATGATTCAGCAAGTATAGAATCCATATGAAGGCCTGCAACAGGAATTTCTGCAGTGCCTATGAGGCATTGATCGCTATCATCAATGGAATATACCTGTTTAATAGTTGGTATAGAGCATCAATACACACTATGGTCCTTGTACATGAAATAGGAGAAAATGAAAGCAGTAGTAGTTGCAAGGAAAAGCCTAACAGTATCAATTTGCATCATACAACAGAGGACGGAACTTTGCTGTGATTACTGATTATCTTCTGAAGAACAACCAATGCAAGGTCTCATGCCTAGCATATGACAAGACAAGATAAAGATGGAAGGACTAACGGACAATTATTCTGCTAGCAATAGCACAATATCTAGTTCATGATCAATGATTCAAAATGGATGAATAAACATGTTTGTCATCAGTTTTATGCACTTCTTCTCAGCCTTGTGAAGCAAAGATTATTTTACAGAACTGACAGGAAACAAATGATGTCTGAAAAATGTAATCACAAACCTGGGTATTTGTTCCCCGCGGTTGAAATCCACATTTTTCAACAACAGAGGAGTGAACGATTTCAGGAGTTGTTAATGGGGTAAAGCCCTCTTCATTACTTCTGAGAGTGTCCAATTTACAGACCCATTTCCAACAAAACCGCCTCATTCTTCAGGTTAAAAACTTGAACCACTGACCTGGTACAGCAAGCAGTACATTAGCTGCATTTGAGACAGAAATGAAGATAATTACGTTATCGTATTTCATTTAGAAGTCCATGCTTTCAAAATTCATAAAATGCTTTAGACAAAAGCAATGTTTATTTTAGGGGGGAAAAAAAACAGGAAGCCTCGGATGAAACATTAGATGGGGGAAAAATTTGTCCGACCCTACTAAAATCTTTATATGACATTTAAAAAGAATGGCTACTTCTATTAAGAAAACAGGTTGCCTCCTGGGTATGCCAGCACTTCCTAGAAAAGGAATGGTTTTTGAGTATAAAATATCACCACCTATTTTTGTTTAAAATTCACGGAATTCATCTTACCTGGTTGCCACAAACTACAAGCCAACAAAATAAATTGAGATAAGCAAACATGAACCTCAAAGATATAATGCTTTAATACCTTATAAAACAATGGGGTATACCTCGGCGGCAGCATCAAAATCAAAAAGATCAAGTTCCTTTCCAAGTTGCAGATGATCCTTGGGAACAAAGCTAAATTGCGAGGACTACCAACCTAAAAGGGGGCACACTAAATTAATATTTGAGGAAAAAACTAATTCGAGCACGAGGAAGATCAATAACAACCTTCCTCTCGAGAGGAAAGGTAGGGAATTGTAATAATTGACATACCTTCTTTCTTACTCTTGAATTATCTTCTCCTCCAATTGGAACATCTGGATGAGTCATATTCGGTATACATTGTGCTTCCTGTTGGAGCTCATCGGTAAGCTTGACAAGCTCTTCTTCCAAGGCAGCCAGCTGATCCTTCAGACTTTTTCCTGCATGCACAACACAACAGGTTTAGGTAATTTACTTGAACACCAGAAAAAAAGCCTGTTGGATGACAAATTCTCTAGGAGCACCTTCCTCAATGAGTCTCTGACGGTCTGATTGTTCCATTTTTCCTTTCATCTTGTTTGCTACTGCATTCCTTTCCCCGCGAACCCTCTCAACTTCCTGCTATCTGTGAATGACAAATTAGCTAAAGCATTGAGAAGAGAAGGACATTTTTCCTTTCTCCATTTCCCGACTGATTGATGCAATTGCTAAGCAATATCACTACGATACGGATAAACATTATTTGTAATTTGAACATCAAGAAGAGTCCAAATTATAATTAAAATAAGAAATAAATGCAAAATCAGAACGTGAACCTTGTAGAGAAACCTAACCTTCTGAAGATTAAAAGTTTTCTCATATAGCTCAAGCACGAGCTCTAAATTAGCATTAGAATTTCGATTCTTTATGTTGGCGGCGACTGCTTCCTTGTCGTCCCTTATCCACTTGAAGTCTATAGCTGCTTTCCACGGTGCTTTCCCACCTACATCACCCAAGCATGAACAACAAGATTCCATATACATTGCGTTTCACAGCTAAGAACGAAATTGACAAAATAACAAAGAGAAGAAGAAGAAGGAATCACCCTTGTCATCAGGGGTCTTGTTAGTTGTGGACGACGATGTGGCGGGAGATGTTTGAACAGCAGCAGAAGCTGAAAGAGCTCTAGTGAGATGTTGCATGCAAGGGTAGTTTGAGTAAGTAGCTACGGGAAGAAAGGGGATTAACTGGAATTCTATCGGCTGTTGGGAAAACAAGGCGTGAGGAAGATGAAGGGGAAACCGTGGCAAATTGAAGACTTTGAAAAGGGGTGCTGCTCAGGCAGCTGTGGATAGCCATGTCGCTTCAGTCACAGCACCAGAAGACGCGAAGGGGAAAGCTTTTAAGCAAACACGACCGCAACTTTTCGGCCGATTGTTTTATCCTCATTTCTTATGGATCCCGGCACTGTGATGGTCCGGTTGCTCTAGCTTAACCTCGTCGTATGTCAATTTCGGATTCGTGAAAGTGAAAATATTAGTGATATGCTTCCGCGGGAGAAAAAGAATTTACTATATGCATGTATTTTTCCAATTTTCCATTACACCACATAATTCATGCGCGCTGGCTAAAAAAAAAAAAATTCATACATGATTTGTAAGTCATACTTATCCTATTCTAAATATAAAACTATTTTATAATATAAATTATATTATAAAGTGAGTTTTATATTTACAATTTGAGGAGCATAATATACTTAAAATATATTGATCACTTACATTTTAGTTTTTATTTAGTTTAAACGTTATTCTTTTATTATGTTTTTTAATTTCCTAACTTTAGTTAATTTTGAGTCATCTTAATATAAGTTGTGATCTTATTTTTAAACATATCTTGTGAATGAATTATTAGAAATATAAAATACATAAATATTTACATTATTTAGGAGTTATCAACATGACTTTCACACAATTTTGCGGGTTTAAAGTTCGATTCTTCCTTCGTGGCATTTGTCTCTCCAATGTTTTCAAGTGGCCCAATATGAGCAGTACTTAAAATTAGGGGACAAACGATTTGACCATTAATTAACCTTATTATGATTATGCGGCATGTCGAGGCGACATCCATTTCACTCTTTTTCCAACTCAAATTTATAAATACAAAAAAGTGAGTGGGCAAAAAAAAAAAAACAGAGAGAGATAAATGCCCCGTGTGCATGCTCCACCGGGGTATACAGGTCAACCAAGGTCAAATGTTTGGGACTATTATTAATTTGGGGCAACATGGATTTTGTGCTGCCTTTTGTATCCTTTTAAATAATTTTTATTTTCATATTTTAACGACATTTAAATTGAAAATAGATACAATCTTTAATATTTTTTGAAAAAGAGCTAATTTCGGAGAATAATTTTTTTGCTCTGCTCATGTGCGTAGGTAATGGCAATGCCCGCAGCCTCGCATTGCTTCACAGCTATAAAATGCATGAGTAGTGAAGCAGAGTGGATTATCTTCTTCTTCTTCTTCTTTTTTAGACAAGATCAGAGTGGATTATCACATCACGCGTACGTCCAAATTAAGTAAGCCTCCTATTCATGTCCCCTGCACATATAAGTGTTTCTTGCATTTTTTCGGCGCTCTTTTAAATTCTCTCTCTTCTTACCATATTGATGTAATTTTAAAAGTAATTTCTTTCTTTTAGGGTTGCTAATATAAGTTAGCTAACTGTTTGTAATATTTGAACTCTTTATTTCAGGATACCATTTTGTCGTAGTTAAAAAAATAAAACCAAAAACAATAATATAAGCCAACATATCGTGCAAGATTTTTTCCCCGCCAAAGAGTGAGAAATATTGGAATTTTTTTAAGTTAACAACAAAATAAAATGATATTAAAAGGTGAAAATCAAACTCAAATGATGCTGGAACCAAATCAAACCAAATTAAATTAAGCAAAAGAAATGATGAAGGTATGAAATTATATTAAGATCAAGTGAAGAGATAAAAGTAAAAATAAAGAAAATAAACAAAAATTAACACTAAAATAAAGATAAAAGCAAAATTAACTTATTAGTGTGAGAACTAATAAAGGATACCCATTTTAAGCACAGACCACTAAGGTATCGCTATCGCCAGACGTCAATTTCTCAGAATCCCTATCAGCCCCAACGGTAAGCAGTTTGAAAGTAGGAAATGCATAGAAGACAGGCTTCCATCGGGGCAGGAAGATTGAAAAAAATAACAACATATAAAAAGATACGCTTGGTTTCTACGCATGACAGGAAACAACTCTATAATTACTTGAAGCATCCGCATCCAACTCAAGCCACTTCAAATAGGGAGCCAAAATTTCTTATTAACCCAGTGCGTCGAATTGAACCTCCTGCGAAGTCATGAGAGTTTCCCTCTACACAGAACAGAAATTTAAATGCAACAAGGAGAAGCAAATTGTGCCAGCCATTTCAGACAAACACCGGCTACAGAGGACCTGGAAATGTTCCGCTTTCCCTTTGTTCATTCCATCTGTCAACCTGGTTATAGGTGCATTAATAGAAGTAGACCGTTAGTTCAAACATCCCACTTTAAGATTTGATGTAGAAACAACACCACATGAAATGTAAGATAAAGCGAGCGTGTACGTTATGAATGAAACGAAAATATCTGCACCACGATATCCGATTTTTATGTTTTTTATCTGATGACAGAAACCAGTGAAAATAACCAGCCAGCCTCCATATGAAAACATGAATGCTAAAAATCTTACACATGGCGATGTTGCACTTCAAAGCCATAAAACTCTCACTTTCTGGTCAATTAGTCAACAAATTAATCAAGGTTTGTCCTTGAAAGGAAGGAGAGTTTAAATTCAGCATGAACTGCGCAGCACATCAGCTACCAGGAAGTCAGAAACTAACTATACCAATGAGAATCCCAACTATTATGCGCCTATGCTTGTACAGAAACCTTCCGCATGCAGCCTAATTAACTTCATGACTACAGTTGGTTTTGTCATCTTCAACAATTTTCTTATTTGACTTACAGTCAGTGATGATGTGAACAAAACCAGACATTTCTCAACGTTGAAAAAGTCTGTCATAGAATACAAGACACAATTGTTTCGGAACAATTATAATAGCAACAAAGTAAATGATGCTTCTCCATTGCAATGATCAGAGTCCAGAAAGCTCAAAAGTTGGATAGATTTTCCACATAGAATCAGTGAAAAGCAAGAAATATAAGCAAGTCAACGGATCTAAACGGATAAACAGATCCCCACATTGCCAATTGGCAGAACCCAGATGCTCATTAACTTAAAAAGAGACACTGAATATGCATACCCATTCGCCAGGGCAAAGAGAACGGTAATATTTTGCAAACTTATCACATTCCGGGGCACCCTCTCCTTTTGCAGCTATGCATCTGCACAGGAATCCAAATATAAATATAACAGAAACAGTCCATCTCTTCATACTATATCAGCAACAAGCATGATAGAATCAAAAGGCCAAAAGAAACTATGGCTCACCGGTGATATTCAACATATCGGGTAAAGCAATGCCTTGTTTGATTTGTAGTAGGAAAACGGAAATCAGCTGGGGCAGTCTCAAGCTTGATAGCAGAACAAAATTAACATACAAGAAAGAGTAGGTATGCTCGTGCTAAAATTAAGAAAAGGTGTAGTATTAGATTAAGTAAAAAAGGAGGGGGCAGAAACCTTAATTTCTGGAGTCTCTTCCGCTGCATCTTGATCACCAGAGTTTTCCTCTCCGGTGTTTCCACTAGTTTGCTCTGCAGTTACATCATTGCTCTCTTCAGAAACGGCAGAATTGGGCTCAGCGCTTTCTTCAGCCCCTGGAACGACTTCACTACTTTCTTTAGCAGGTGCAGGGGATATTTTCACATTGTTCTCAGCCACAGATTCCTCAGAAGAAGCCTCCCTAGGATTTTCAACTTGTTTAACTTCCACAGGTTTATTGCCTCCATCTTTTTTCTCCTCTTTATCGTTCACAAGATATTGCTGAAAGTCAAAGCAACAGAAAAATATCTTTCAGGTAATATGTTGGGCTGAGAACACGAATGTCCCACCTTAACAGAAAGGTGAAAACTATCGACACAGTAAACCTATCAAACAAAACATGTTTATGTACTCATTAAACTTTTGGACCAATTTTATTGGTGCAACTATATAACACGTAATTCCATGTTTTCTTATCATTGTCCTCAACAATGACTAAGTTAGCAATAAACTCTTCTACTTGAGCATGAAGCCTAAGCACAAAATTCAAACTCCATGACACGGTGCTGCCTTTCAAGTATCCAACTCATTCTCATAACTGGAAGAACAGGGAGGCAGAAGACAGATTGGAGTACAGTATAGGATTAGAAACAATCAGATCAGACCCAGCAAGCATTTCTAGCATAACCTTATAGTGGCCAATACAGGTTTAGCATAGAATTCCTGGTAGACAGCCTCAGATATTATTACTATTCGTTAGTTAGAAATGTTTCAGAGATTCCTGCGAAAGGGGATTCTAAAATGCCCCCCGCCCGGGGGGCGGTCCCTCGAAGGTTTGAGCAACACGCTACATATAATCAGCTGAATTAATGAAAATTTTAATGAAATACATTATCAAGCTTTTCACTCTATAATAATATGCTTGAGCACTGATTAATCAAATCGCAGGTCAAGGACTCCAGATTGTTAATCAAACGAAGGCTCCATTTTCCTCTCCTCACACCAGAAGGGATATTTTGTATCGAATCGATGAAGTCGCAGACATCAAAATCAATTGAGCAGGCGATTCTTTATATAAAATCTACCTGGTACGTCAAAATCGAGCTTCGTGAATGGAACAAAATGACCCAGCAACGTTTTAGAAAAACGAATTCTACATTGCATACAGTTAAGAAGAGAAAAGCGGGGAGGTATACCTCAGCAAGTGTTGGAGAATTGTCGGTCTCAGCTACAGCCATCGGTGTAGTGAGCTCAGGGAATAGTAATTGGAGGAATAAGCTGGTAGGTATGGATGGGGGTGCAGGGTGACCCTGGAATAGTGGCTGCAAAGGGAAAGGGTGGAATGGGCGAGAGAGCACTAGAATGTGGGCGAGACACGTGTTCGATCGGAGCCGTCTGACCATCCTGACAAAAACCCGGCATCATATGGGGAGTCAACCCGAGCAAGCTGCCGTTCGGGTAGATTCCCATACACCCCTCTTTTGGGCCTTTCCTTTTATTTTTTCGGCCATATTTTTCCTCTCCCACTTAGCTGCGCGCTTAGAGCCCAGAAAAAAGTACACAAAATCTATCAAAACAAGTATACAAAAAATGGAATAAAATAGGGGGCCGAGCAAATTGTTCACTACACCCTCGAAGAGTAGAGAACTTTTATTTAAGATGAATGGGATGGGTTTAGAAAAATAAGTTAGTTTATTATGATATAGAAAATCAATATTCAAATTTTTACTAAGAAGTATGTTGATATTTATACCTGGCAGTGCTTTAAATATGATTGTTTCTTATAAAAAGATATATATATTTAAAAGAAAAAATTACATGAATGAATGTACTAGACCTATTATTCATGAGCAGGGTTCACATCTCCGTGCACATTTCGCGACATATTGATGACCCGCTTGGGTCTAAACTGTAGTTTGGAGCATTTGAAACTAGCGTTTATATTTCACAAAGTAAAACTCTTCTTATTTATTTATTTCATACAATACAAAATCATTTATTTACGGTTAACCTAGCAGATACCTTGGGCTCAGGCACGGAACTGTGGTTATGAATTATGATGCAGCGAGTGGTTGAAATAAGAGTAGTAAACTTACTATTTCTGATTCTTAATATAAAACTTTATTTGATTTTTATTTTAATCCTAGATATAAGAATCCAATCCACTTTGTTTCATATTGATATAATTTTTTTGAAAATAATCTTTCTAATAATGATAGTTCTAACCAACATATTTGATTAGAAAGAATATTTTAAAAAAGACAAAATATTTATTACAAATAACTAATTTAATTTATTTTTTAGTTTCTTTAAAATAATCAACTAATTTTTATAATTAAAATTGGAGATAGTATTATTACGAGTGAGCATAAAGGGCAACATGCATTGCTTTTGGTGATTAAAGACACTGGATCAAAATCCGAATCTTAATTAAATTTATTTCTCAAACTGTAACTGTCTAAAATTCTGTGAGTGTGCGTGGACAGAAGAGTGGGTGAGGTCGGATGATGACTAGAGTAGCTGAATGCACAGGTGAGCCTAGCCCTGCCTGAAAAACTGACAATGGGAAACGAGGCACGCACAAATGAGTCATAGGCTTATACCACAGGTGCGGCAGGAAATCAAAGGAACGCAAAATCAAGATAGCTACGATTCCAATACTTTATACCCAAAAATTACGAAGAGGCACGCATAAGATTAGGTGAGGTCACTCAGGTGGTTACGCGCTTGATATAATCTACGCACAGGACAAAACACGGGTTAATTAAAAAATGAGGCCGTGGGTCACTGGACGTTAGAAAAATTGCGGTCAAAGATAAATGCGTGCGTCAGGAAGACTAATCAGCCTCCAGGAAGGGATATGCTCCTCCCTCCTTCTCCCATCGAATATGAAGTTCTGTCAGCAGGCCCTTTATTGCCTATTACTTCCTAATTTAATGTGCACATACTTATCGCAACAACATGAAGAGTTCACGCATGGTCATATGTGCAATACGAGGTCCGCATCATGCATATGTGTAATTCTATTGATGGGATGGGTTGGTGAGTGGATGCCCCCGACAGAGCCTGTGCGGCCTTAAATAACAACAGAGCAGCTAAGGTTGTTTTGCATATAAAGTTGATTAGAGTGCGACTGGTTAGCTTGCCATCGCTGTCCACAGGTTAAAGCAACTTGTCAATGGATGGTGCAAACAAAAGCCTCGTACCTAACCCTAATCAACTCCCACGAAATTAAACTATTGTGCTGATCAGGTTCTGACACGCTTGCCCCTTTCACACGTCACTCATCTTAAAAACACACAAAAGCTTTCTTTGCTTGCAGGCACACGTTACCGCGATTATGAGCTTCCATCAGCACCTCGATCGTAAACAGGGTTATAAAACTCGCAACATCTGTCTTCTTCTGTGTATAAATTACAGGGCAAGTATGGCTGTAATTTGTAAAATACATTTGACATTTTAATCAATTTTTTATCTTTAGAAGTTGAGCTTGGATTTTAAAATTACCGGACATCCATGTAAGCAACAACTGCTTCAAGTTTTATTCCTTTCCTTTTTTCCTCCGGATCTGGCAAAAGTCACTTCGAGGGCGTCAGCGGCGGCACCAATGGATGATAGGAATTCGGATTAAACCTATCCTCTTTCTTTCTTATTTTTTGTTTTTTAATCGTTAAATTAATATATTTTAACAGTTTAGATTTTAATTTTTTTAAAACCATCAGCACCTCGATCGTAAACAGGGTTATAAAACTCGCAACATCTGTCTTCTTCTGTGTATAAATTACAGGGCAAGTATGGCTGTAATTTGTAAAATACATTTGACATTTTAATCAATTTTTTATCTTTAGAAGTTGAGCTTGGATTTTAAAATTACCGGACATCCATGTAAGCAACAACTGCTTCAAGTTTTATTCCTTTCCTTTCCTCCGGATCTGGCAAAAGTCACTTCGAGGGCGTCAGCGGCGGCACCAATGGATGATAGGAATTCGGATTAAAACCTATCCTCTTTCTTTCTTATTTTTTGTCTTTTTAATCGTTAAATTAATATATTTTAACAGTTTAGATTTTAATTTTTTTAAAACTATTAATAATATTTTTTTAAAAATTAGTGCACTTGCAACTCATTAGAATTAATTTTTAATATAGTTATAAATTTATAATTTATTTATTTTTATAATTTAATATTTTAATAAGAGGTATAAAAGATTTAAATCTAAACCATTAAGATATTAATCTAACGATTAAAAAAAGAAATAAAATAAAAGAAAAAAAGGAGAGGTTTTGAACCCGGCTTTCACCCGATTTGTTGACTAAGGGTGTGTTTGAATGAAACCAAACTATAGTTTGGAGAATAGCTTCTGGAAAAAATAGATTTTGTGAAAAAGTGATTATGATAAATGAGAGTGTTTGGATAGTTGTTATCAGAAGAACTTTTTATATGTACAAATTTTACTAAAAAATGTATAAGTTAATATGATAATTACATAAAAGATAGATTTTATAATATATTTTAATTTGAAAAAATAAAATTGTTAATAATATATTTTTTACCAACATAATTAATAATATATAAAACAATATAATTAATATGTATATATATTTTTATAAAATACAAGATTAAATATGTTTATAAAAAAATAATTGAGGAATATTAAAATCATATTATCGTTGAGATCTACTCTACAGGTACAATTATACTCTCCCATTTGAGCCATAAGCAGAATGAATCCACTTCTTCTGAAACCATGGTTTTGAGCTCCAAATCATGGTTTTGATCCAAAACCATGGTTTCTGTTTTTTCCTGGGTATTTGGCAAGTCTGAGACCCAAACCATGGTTTGGGTCCCAAAACCATGGTTTTCTATGTTATCCAAACAAGCCCTAAGACAGCGTCAACGAATAGTTATTTTTTTGAATCAAAACGAATAATTTTTAAAGGGAAAATTACACTCAAGTCAAATAAAAGATAATTAATTTAGCAAAAGTCCCTGAAAATCCTGAAATGATCCCTAAATCTTCAGGGACCTGTGTGTAATAAATTGTAAATATGAAATTACTTACTTATTCCTCTTAATTTTATTGCAGCAATTTATTTACAACCTCAGTGGTGGCTATTAACAATCTGAGAAGAAGTGGTTGACAACCTCGACAGTGCCCCTAACAACTCACTCTGTGGGATACCACAGGCAGTACCGAGGTTGTTAACCATTTATCCATGGGTTGTCAACAGCCACCGCTGAGGTTGTAAATGAATTGCATTGGGTTCAAATTAATAGGGTTAAACAGGTAATTTTATAATTACAATTTATTACACACAGGTACCTGGGGACTTAAGAATCATTTCAGGATTTCTAAAGATTTTTTCTGAATTAATCATCTTCGTGAGACCTGAGTGTAATTTTTTCACTTTTAAAATCCCTTTATTCTCTCTACCTGTTGTAGGGCTGAGTCGTTTTAGACCCCCCGCACCCGAAACCTGTTATTTTGGGTTCCTTATTTAAACGCAAGGTATCGAGTGTTTAGAAAATATAAAACAAACATTTCAATGGGTGAGATATGTTTTGAAAAAAGGCAAAGTGTGGGTGCCGTAATTTTCTTTCCCTGATATACATGTCTTTTTTTCCTCCTCTGCGGGCGGCGCCTGTCGCGCGTGTGGGGGTGTGTTTCTGGCCCTTGAAATTGTGAGTCGTAGGGCGGCAATCATTTGGAGGTTGGAGGGACAAGATTTTAAAGATTCCGTGGCCAAGTCTATAAGAGCCAGGACATCTCGTGCTTCAGGTTTGACCGGTCATCGCTGAGGTTTTTGAACCCGACTCGTGAATCAGCCTATGCCCCCTACCAAGTTCCTTTTTCCACTTTTAGTTCTTCCTCTTTCTAAAAGGAGCAAACACCACCGACCCTAGGCACACTGCTGTACGACTCACGGTCTAATTAATTCTTTAGTAATTAAATTGCTAAAACCCCATCAGCTCCATTTTTATGATGGGCATGCAGTTTAAAATAGGCACCAAGCCATATGTATAGTATCTGTTACGCCCTCCCTTCTTCTGCGCTTCCTGTCCCTTGCCTTCTTTCAACTCCTGAAAAGTGAAAACACATGAAAGAGGAGTAGAGAAAACGAACCATAAGTACCGCCCAAATGTACATATTTCCAGATATCGTCCAATATTGCCATAATTCCTATAAAGTCTTAACAGATTTATTCAGGAGTTGAAGAATTTTGGGGATTGGAGTGGAAATTTCATAGAAATTATGTCACTGTTATTTTATGATTTGCAAATCTGGGTAATCACTTGATGTTGTCTCAAAAATATGGGGTATTAAAAACAGTGAAAGGCAGAGCATAAGGCAGCGTAAAGAGACAGACATATTGGCCTTAATTTATTTATTTATTTTCGGATTTTCCCACCACGATATGGCCCCTCGTTAGGTCGATCTCGGGAACACTTGCAGGAACATGTTAAGAGTCTTGGAACTTGGCCACATCCCCAGTCCCTCTAAACCCAAAAAACTAATTTTCTATTTAGTCATCTGTGTCCCTACCCGCAGGGTGCGATGAGAGGAAGCCCACCACATCAACCCACCGGCATCACTCTGCTATGCGCGGGGAGAGATTAGAGATCGTAGATCTAGAGAGAGAAAAAAGTGCTTGAGTTTTAGTGTAATGGATAAAAGCTGCCAGTCCTCTGCGGACTCCTCTACCGCCACGGCCACGCCCAGTAGCAGCAATGGCACCATCTCTTCTCATAATCTCAGGCACCTCAACAAGCTTTCTCACAAGATCTCCAAGCCCTCCCTCAGAAAACCTTCCTCTGATTCTTCTCTCACTGAGCCCCAAAACCACAAGCTCAATCACGGCCAGCCCCAACCCGCGGCTCAGCCGCAAGCGCAGCATCAGCCTCCTGTCTACAACATCAACAAGAACGACTTCAGGGATGTAGTCCAGAAGCTCACGGGTTCACCTGCTCACGAGCGCATCTCCACTCCGCCTCCTATTCAACAGCCCAAGCCTCCTAGCTCTCGCCTTCAGCGCATACGCCCTCCTCCGCTCGCGCAGATTGGCAATCGCCCACCTCCGTTGCTAGGCGGCGCTATTCACCGGCCCCAACCGCCTCCGGTTAGCGCCGCTTCGGCCTCGACAGGCAACCCCATTAACGCTGGTTCCGGAGCTAATTTCTCTGACTTTGCGAGACCGCTTCCGCCGTTATCACCTCTGCCACCTTTTCCGTCTGTCCACGCAGAATCTCCTGTTTCCGCTTATATGCGCTATCTCCAGAATTCCACGTCCAACATGGATTGGAATCCCAAGCAGTTCTCGGGTTTTCCGCCATTAGCTCCTCCAGCCTCGCCTCGCTGGAACAATATCGCCACACAACAGCCTCAGCCGGCGCCTCAATCGCAGGTCACGCCGATGCAGCAGGGGGTGATTCCTTCACAAGCCTCAACAAATGCGCTGGCGCAACCGCAGTTTCAGACGCCGTCTCTGCCAGCCCCTTTCGGATGCTTGAATTCGCCGAGATCGCCCTACCCTTTGCTTTCCCCATGTCTTCTGTTTTCGCCTTCGTCGGGTCAACTAGTGTTTCCTCAGCTGCCCCTCTCGCCGACGGTGCCCGTTCCAAGCCCAAAATGGAGAGGTCTTTGAACTGGTTCAGGTAAATCTGAGTAGAATGTTGTTTGTTTGATGTTTAGGATTTGGTTTGCGGGTTTTGTACATGGTTTTAGGTCGGAAGGAATCAGGTTCATTCAATTTGTAGTGGTTGGACTGATGATACAAGTCCCTTCACTACTTAGTAGTTTTATTCTGTATATGCATACCAAAGACACGAGGTGGGAACATTTTTTTGTATATGGTTTTGCTGCTTAGGTCTACTGGGCGATAGGAAATATGGTTAGCTATAAAATTATGATTTTAGGGGGATGCCACTGCTCTCATTTCGAATATTTTCCGGCTGTAAGGTTATTTCCTAGTTTCTCATATCACTTCCATTGAGTTGCGCGTACAGCTGAACGTCGTGGCACTCTCTGTCTTTGCTTGTCAGTAGACAAGACACAACTAATTGTGTGAAAATATATAATTTGTTGTCATGGAGGTGAAATTGCCCCAGGCTGTTAGACTTCTATACAAATTGATGATGGGGTACGTGATTAATTGTTGGACGATTTTTGGCACATCCGATTGATTTTGGTGGGCAAACGTGGTTGATAAGAGGAGGCTTAAGAGATGGGTGATCAAGGATCTCTCATACGGGATCCTGCCTGTTGGGCTCATTGCTATTAAGTTCTCAGAGGGCTATTCTAGAAATGAGGACGGCCTGACTGCAGATGGTCTTTCCGGTTTCTGGAGTACCTCTCTTTAGGCCGCGTGCCCTCTTGGACTCTCCTCACTTCATCATTGGGCTGATTTTGATACGTGTTAATCACATATTGGAATGAAAATAAAGTTTAATAAATAAAATGATTTGAATTATGGTGAAAATTAATGAGAAAATTAATCTTTTGATACTTCAACTTTTAATTCAATTATGACTCAATTTTTTAACTATCAGTTTCTGAATTTTTAATTTTCTTAAAACTCGGTTCTTATTTTTTTTTCTTATTTAATAAATTAATCCTTCTTATACATGATTCATCCTACATGGCAAAAGGGGTTGCTGATACTGGAAAAAAAAAAAAAAAGCTGATGTGGCTTCCAAGTAAACTGACCATGGCTGGAACATGGTCCTGTGTCTGCCACGGTCCTTAACGCCGGAGATAAAGAAGAGTTTTGCACTCTGGCTTCTGGATTACTATGACAGACGAGAGGGCCAAGAGAAAGGAAAATTAATGTGTGAATATGGGAATTTGCGCAATATAAAGAAGTCTCCCACTCTCCCATCTTCCATTTCAGAAGTTCAAACACTATCCTCACCAGTAGTGAATTTTCCATTGCAGGTGGGTGGATTTCTCTGAATTCCATTTTACTTTCTACTCATTGATTTCCAATCAATTACTTGTTGACATTGCCGCAGGTCCCTCCACTCTAACATCATCATGTGCGTCTCCAAGCCCAGGAAAGTTGGCATCGCCTGCCACTGTTTCCCAGTCAGAACAACAAGCGACTTCCAAGTCAACGACGCCATTGTGGGGAGGTTCGTGGGAAGGAGGAGGAGAGGGAGAGGCGACACGGTGGCAGTTACTGGACCATATCCCAGCCATGGTGAGCTTAATTGGACGCCACATCAGCTTTTTTTTCCCCGAGAGAATTGTAGGAGAGGGAATAGGAAGGAAAATTTTAATGAGTCCTGTTTAGAAAAAATAAAAAATAGGGTTTTGAAATTTTAATACTCCTCCGGTCCTTATTATAAGACCCAATTTGACTTTTTATTTGGTCCTAATTATAAGACCCAATCCATTTTCTCTCTTATATTTATGCATTTTTTTCTAAGATAATCCTTCTAATAATGATAGTTTTAGCCAATACACTTAATTAGCAAGGATATTTTAGGAATAACAACACTTATTTATTATAAATAACCAATTTAACTTACTTCCTTAATCTCCTCAAATAAGTCAATTGGGTCTTATAATTAGGACCGGAGGAGTAAAAAGAAGAAATAATATAAAATATTAATAAAGATTAATTAAAAACTTTTAACCCTATTTTTTTAATTTTTAAATTGAGCTTATTAAAATTTTTTCTTCTCTTCCCTCCTCTTATTTTTCCTCATACCAGACAGATCTTTAGTGTCAACAACCTTTTTTGCCATGTAGGATGAGTCGTGTAAATAAGAAAAAAATTGAAGACTGAGTTTTCATTGAGTTAAAAGTTTAGAAGTTTAGAGATTGAGTTATACTACTTCCAGTCCTTAATATAAAACCTTGTTTAATTTTTATTTTGGTGCTAAATATAAGACTCTAATTCATTTTGTTTCTCATATTTATACATTTTTTTCAAAGGAGTCCTTCTAACAATGATAGTTATAGTCAATACACTTGATTAGTAAGGATGTTTTAAGAAAAACAACATCTATTTAGGACAAATAACTAACTCAATTTACTTTCTTAATCTTCTCAAATTAGTTAACTGGCTCTTATAATTAGAACAGGAGGTATTTTTAAGTTATAGTTGAGGGATTGAGTCATAATTGAATTAAAAGTTAAAGGACAAAAAATTAATTTTTTTAAAATTAATTTATATAATGCATAAATAAAAAATATAAATAAATATGTAAGGGTGAAATTTTAGCCCAAAAAAAGGGTAAAATGATAAATTAATTACTACCCCATCATTTATCCCTTATCAAATCAAATAAAGGGTCATTCAAGATTCCTTACCCTTCCCTCTAATAAATTCAAACAAGATAGCTCTTTCCCCTCTCCTCATCTCAACTCAAGCCAAACACGTCCTTAGCGCCTATCCTACAAAGACAATGTTCCCATCTCAAGCATTACTCATTATAAAATATAAAATCAAAGTCGAGTTATTTATAAATTATATATAATCAGGCTTTATTTCTTAAATTTTGTACAAACATTTTCTTTTTCTAACCTGTTGTCTTTTCTATAACCCGCTTTTCTTAATCGTGACAATATTCAAATTGGTTCATGAAGGGGAAATAACTCTCGGAAGTCGGAACTCAAAGGCCTATGCTGCCGTTGGAAGAGCCCAATCTGTTGGGCTGTTGGGCCGGAGCATGAGAATTATATGGGGCTGATTCACTGGCCCCCAGAAATAATGGGGGGCCGTGCTGCCGTGGGATTGAGTGTTCACGTCATAAAAGACCCCTGTTCCACGTCGTGGAACTATAAACCTGAGTACTATTTTGATCATATTTATAAGTTATTTTTAACATATTATATACAGATTAAAAAAAATCTTAAATTTTATTGATTCTCATTCAAAATCTAACAACTTTTCAATTTTTTTACTATTTAATATATTATATCTTATTTAAATAAAATCAACACAATAATAAATAAAAAACGAAATTATATAACTTTACAAAAAAATTTCAGTATCCTATAAATAGTAACAAAAAATATTTTCTCTCTCTGCTTTACTTTATAAATAAGATCAGAAAAGCACTTATCAAACTTTAGAAGAGTACTGTCTTTTGATTAAATAAACAACTTTTATTCCAAATTTCAGATTGTGAGAAAATCTGTTTAATTTCTAATTTTAATCAGCGCTGGCCGAAAAACCTTTAATTACGTGACCTTTTACTTTATAAAAGAAGATTATATTTATATTTTAAGCTCCTTGCCAATATAATTACATTCCCGCCTTGACTGTTGGGAATCCGCTTCTATCTTTATGGAGCATTTTGATGGCCCAATAAAAGGACAAACGTCCCACTATCCATTAATTTGAATCTTGAAACCAAGGTCAAACAAAAAGCGCAGGAATCTTGAAACGATTTCATAAGCAATTTACCACCCATAACGAACACAATTAGCTACAAACGTTTGATCGGAGGATTAGAAGTCTGAAATCCTGTAATTTAACACAAGCATTTACAGAAAAGGCCATGGAAAATGGAAATAAAACAGAGGTACAGGTGCGAGAGAGAAATGTTAGGCAAGCAATGTAAGCCACTAAGCCAGTATACAGATACAAATAAAAGCCTCGGCTGAAGAATCAAGGACAAAAAGTTCACCAGAGAGAATATAATCTTAAAAATTCCAATTGCATATATGAAAAACTTCCATGTCCTCAATAAAATAGGCAATTCAGAAACACGTAAAAATGGAAGGACAAACTAAAAGGGCCCAGTACATCCATAATTCATAACAAAGACATGAATGCCTAATATCTCAGTAGCATCGAGATTAGCAGCAGGCACCTTCTCCCTTTTAAAACATATAAAGGAGAAGTTCAATCCTAATTGAAAGTATAATAACTTCACTTAGCTTCTTCATCTTGTTTAGGTGGTGCTTCTTTAATTTCATCAGCACCATCATCCTGAAAGCATAGCAAAGCACAAACATCAATAAAAATTTAAGAAAAGATAATGAAGACATGCTAAGACACGATTCTCTGGCAATTCCCTTAGTCAATACCTGCATGTCAGAGGTCCAGAGGGTGAGGTTATCACGAAGAAGTTGCATGATCAAAGTGCTATCCTTGTATGACTCCTCTCCCAAAGTATCCAATTCAGCGATTGCTTCATCAAAAGCCTGGTGATTATCCGCGTGAAAAAGGGCTCATAAGTAATCGATGCACCATAAGAACAGAAGAACTCGTACCATAACGAATCTCTTGCTGCTTTCTATAATAGCACTTACACAATCCCAGAGAACAATGAAGCAAAAATCAAGGGGAAAAAGAAAAACGAAGTGCCTTACTTCGTAACCAGAACCTGAGAGCAATATTTATTACAAAACAGTATAAAGGTGCAACGAAGGTCTTCCAAATTCAAATTCATCATGGTAAAAACAAGTGCAATATGCAGTGGTGATGAAGGATTGAAGGTCTTCCAAATTCAAATTCATGATATGCTCCCTTATTTTAGCACACAGCTTGTTACATTGTTTTTCCCTCGGCAAACATCAAAGAACCCAATACAAATGGCAGAGTACTTCAAGACATAAAAACACAGGGGGATGTTCAGTTTCTCTATCTTTAACCTGTTTGGCAAGATTGCAAGCGCGATCTGGGGAGTTAAGAATCTCGTAGTAGAAGACAGAAAAGTTCAGCGCAAGGCCAAGCCTAATCGGGTGAGTGGGAGGCAGTTCGGCATTTGCAATGTCCTGCATAAAAGATGTATCTCAGATATTACGCATGGGCAATTTCCATATGAAAGAGACACGTTGGGAATAGAAGTCACAATCATAATATTTCCCAAGAAAAAGAAAATTGCGCATATCAATTCTTATAATTAAAGGCAAACGACCCTATTTTTCAATAGGGACATCGGGTTTGATAACAACCACATAGTACATACTAAAAGCAAAAGATAAACTGGTAAAATTGAAGAAAAAAATTGACCGGAGCACGCGAATCTGAAAGTGTAAAAATCTGTAAATAAAATAAAAATTAGGATCATAACAAGCATGCACAGATGCCAATATCTTATATAACGTTCAACACAAGCGGTCCGTGCAAAGATTCGAACAAAATCGAGCTATCCGAAAGGACGTAGGTATACAGACAAGACGAGATGCACGACAGTAAAGGAACAAAGTAAATCTGGTCATTGCACTAACAGATCTGAACAGCGAATTAATAGAATTGCAAGGAAATGGATAGGCCAGTTACCTTAACTAAAGTGATATTCATGGCTAGAGAATAAATCAAGATCAAACCTGAGCAGATTTGTACGCAGTGAGCGTGCTCTCAGCAGCATCCTTGCGCTCGGATCCGGTTTTGAACTCAGCAAGGTACCTGTGATAATCACCCTTCATCTTGAGGTAAAAGACCTTGGAATCACCGGAAGAAGCGGAGGGGATAAGGCGGGAATCAAGAAGCTTGAGGATCCCATCACAGATGTTGGAGAGCTCCGTCTCGATCTTAGATCGGTAATCCCGGATCATGGAGACATGATCCTCGTTGCCGCGGCTCTCCTCCTTTTGCTCGATCGAGGAAATGATGCGCCAGGAGGCACGGCGGGCACCGATGACGTTTTTGTAGGCAACAGAGAGGAGGTTCCTCTCTTCGACGGTGAGTTCTTCGTTGTCGACGGAGGCGGAGACTTTCTCCATGAACTCGACCATCTCTTCATAGCGCTCGGCCTGCTCGGCGAGCTTGGCCATGTAGACGTTCTCTTCGCGAGGCGAGGTAGTGGCCGCCATAGTCAGATCACAGAGCGGATGAGATCTGATCTGGTTAGGGATAGAGAGTTGAACTTGAGAGGGGTAGAGAGAGAAAGAGAGAGGAGAGAGGAAGAAAGGGTGGTTTTTGAGGACCAAATGGAGCGATAATTGCGTCGAGGGCCTGGAGGGGGGAGTTTTAGAACAGGCAACTTGGACCGTTGGATCCAAGGGACAAAGCTAGTTCTGTATTTATTTTGAGGGGTTGAGATGTGTTGTGCAACTGAATTGATTAACTGCTAATTGTAACTAATAAACAGGGACAGCTGTCAAACACCAGTTTTTGATTGGGTGTGTCTGGCGTTGTGAATGCTCACGCACACGCACACTCCCGTGGGCCTGCCAGAGCGACTGGCGGTAGGCAACACCCCGCCCTCTTTTTTTTTTTTTTTTCTTAATTAGGATTCTTATCTTAGTAGTGTTTTTTTGACCCTGTTGAAGGTTATTCCTTCCATTCCAGCTTTAAATTGGGAACTAGATTCAGGCTGCATATTCAATTTCCTTTCTTTTTTACCGAGAGGGCTGTATATTCAGTCTATATCACATGATAAAAAATTACATGCATGAATTCGTTACAAAATTTATTTAATATGTGACCTGTGTGGTTTAAATGATGGAAAAATAATACGAGTTTTAATACTGCCTCCTATACAGGTCACACCGGGCGCTTTTCTTTTTTTCCACAAGTCCGAACTGGAATTTGATCTAATACAACATGACCAAACATGTGGAGACGAGTCATTACGTGTATAAAATTATAGTAGTTCTTTATAAAATCACTGTGCATGTTGCCATATCATGATAATTTTGTTGAGGTAGGTGTAATTTTGATCACAGTGGCGAGTCAATATGCTGTATACCAGTATATGTGTGTCTGATTATTACTTTGTTAGCTGGTAAAAAAAAAAAAGGACTATTGGTCTGTTACATATCATAAAAAATGATCAACTCACTCCTCTCTCTGTTTTCATTTGTCATTTTTAATACCTGCTGCAGTCTATTTAAAAAGCAATACTGCACACTCTTTCTCGTGACAAAAAGAATTAAAAAAAATATTAAATTTTGAAATTTTAAATTAATATGAATTACTATACTCGTAAAGAAAATGATTACACTCAAAAAACAAATAACAATATTTTTATAATAATTCCTAATTTGGGCTTTTAAAATTCAATTGTCATTTTTTTAAATTTCCCCCAAAAAAAAACCTACATTCCATAAACTTTTATGGGCCATATTTATTTTTTATTTTAACATTGGCTGTACTTTTTTTCTTATTTGATTAAGAGTTTATCTTTTCAAGATTTAAACGCAAAGGATTTTCACCTCTCCCAACAAATACGTTTTTAGTGATTTGAATTTATATTTTTTTCTTTACGAGGATAAAATCACCTATCATCTTAACCAACATATATCAATTTTTTTTCAAATTGACTGTTACTTTTCCTCACATTAAAAAGAAAAAAAGATTTCTTTCAGTATTTATTTTTCTCATTCCGTGATTCTCATCAATTCCAGCCAGCATTGCTGATTAGGTACAGTTGCCCGCTTTAGGTCCCCCTCAGGTAAAAAGAAAAAGAAAACAAAGAAAAGAACAGCCTGGGGCAAGTGCTTAGCAGTGTTTTGGTTGAACATTGAGGAGTCCCCATATTTTGTGAAGTGATTAATGATGAGATAGAATCTGCCGTCCAAGCGACTAAGGAGTGCTCATTCCTTCGTCCAAATCTCTCTGTGGAGCAGCAGCATACCAGGGCTGCAACCCTTGAAGGACAAAAGCAGCAAATTCCCAAACAGGGATTTGCCGCAATGATCTCACAGTCAAGCAACACAATAGGGATCCCTCAATCCATTATTGTTACTTTTAAACAAGTTAAATTAACGACTCACCCGAGGCAGAGCTTCCATGACTCACGGTCCCCATACACGGGGGTCAACTTTCAGACCCGTTTGGAATAAAGCTTCTTTTGAGGCCCAGGTTTCACTCCGCTTTATTGTGCCGCCTTTTTAGCGGCTTCCTTACGGCCTAGGGTCCCTCCTCCTAATGCACACAGTAATACCGTTTCTTTTACCTGTTTGATTTGAAAGTAGACACCCTAGAATCATGCGTCTTCTCTATTTTTTTTTGTTGGGACAAAAAGATCATTCTAGAATCGTTCGGTCATCCCATTGATCATGGTATGACATTTGTTATGTAATTTGTTCACGGTATAAATCCAGTCTCCGTTATATGACATTTGTTTTGCCAGAAGATAAAGCTTATTTGTGTGAGTGCGTGTGGATGATGATCACCTCCATAAGTGTGCTAGACGCGGTGTAGTTGAAGGTGTGTTTGAGTAAAAATTAAATCACGATTTTAAAAATAATTTTATCAAAGTTTTAAAAAACACTTTCAAAAGAAACCAAATATCCCCCCAAATCTTCAAAATATCCTGCGGTCGTACATGTAGAGAAGTTTTTTTTTGGAATAATCAGATAATTGAATAGCCTTAGAAAATGAGATAAAAAATTATTTAATGCAGGTACGTAAAAAAACACGATACAATTAATTAGGATGATAACGCAATCATTCGAAGTATTGAGGTTCATAATTCAACTTAGAAAGTAACAGATTATAAGTTGACTTTTGAAAAATTATAATAACAATTATTCATAAAGTGTCATAACAATATAAACTATTTTTTTCACCGGCTCATTATACACCTAATCAACAGCGTTCTATAACTCCAATAATGAAAAATAATTCACAGGAATATAAAAAAAAAAAATAGAGAAAAGAGTTCGATTGAGCCTCTGGTGATATTAAGGATGGGAGGGGAAGATAAGAAAACTATTTATCTAGATAATTGATTTCACAAATACCAGTCTCGTTACCGTTAAGAGTTAAAACAACATTCCAGCAAAACGTAAATTGAGACGAACATGCTGTGGTAGGAACCAGGGGATCGATTATCTTGCGTGCCCCTAGCAATCTAAATCTGTTAATATTGCAGTAAGATAATTACGCTGATATTGTCATGGACACAGAATATGAACTTCCACGTGTTCTTCTTTTTGGAGTTTATTAGAATATTGAAATCTTAATGCTTTGGGAGTTTGCCCCAAATAAATCTGGTCCCATGCCACAAACAGTTATCTGTTACTTATCATTGGCATATTTTAATGAAACAAAATGAAGGCTTCATGATTCCCGCGAATCCCATGTATCCCTAATTACCTACGGAATAGTTTAAACTCACAGGTCACAGTCCCACCCGGCCCATTTTTATATGTAAACAGAGGGTGGCATAAATTGTTAAAAAGGATTTGACTGTTTCAGGCTGTCGCCCCCGGCTTATACATAGAATAAGTAATACGGAAACAGCAATTACCCCATAAATGGAAGAGAAGCCCACTGTAATGTAATAATAGTCAGACGAGGCCCCATGTTTGATTCGTCCATTCCTTTTGCACACAATTCCTTCTCGTTTTCCGTTGTGCACTCTCCTTCGATTTTAAAAGTCACGACTCATGTCTCTGAACCTTTTAACCTTCGGCCTCACTGCTTATTCCTAAATTACACACCGACAATGGATAGGAGCAAAGTTCAAGTGCTTTATGATGCTTGCAGCGCTATATTTTCTCAGGAAGGGCTCACAACTTTTCGGCAAATCCAGTATTTGAAAAATCTCCTTGGTTGGTTGTTACCCTTTTCGGTCAAGTGCTTCTGTTTCTGTTTTTCTCCCCCGGCTTCTTGTATAGATGATTTGAGATGAATGAATTTAAATTTGCAGACAAAATTGAGGCTATTGACGTGGGGATTGATGAGTCTGGGACGAGTGATTCTCCGATGTCAAGCCCAGAGAGTGGCGGAAGCAGGGGATTGCTTTGCGCGCAAGCTTTCTCTGAGATAACATACATTCACATCCACGAATGCGATCATTTCTCTGTGAGTAAAACCAAGTGTATGTGTATCTGTGAACGATAGTTAATGAGAATTGCAGCGATTTAATTAGTTTGATGACGGTGCAGATGGGCGTGTTCTGTCTTCCTGCGGGAAAGGTGTTTCCGCTTCATGATCATCCGGGAATGACGGTGTTTAGCAAAGTCCTCTATGGCTCCGTCCACGTCAAAGCTTATGACTGGATCACGTTAGACGCCAGCGGCTGCCCAACACGTCAGTTCATCTTTCATGTGCTGAGTGTTTTTACTCTCAATTCTGTGGGTCCTAATGAACCAGCTTGTCCTCTACTCAGGCAAGCCTTGCGTTTGATCTCATCTAATGAACTTCACGCTTCCCTCTGTCCCGTGGGGGGTTCCCACACCGTCAAATAAGTAAAATAATCCCCCAATCATAACACGCGTCATTAACTTGTAATGAAGGGTTTAAGCCCGTACTGGGATGCCAAGGCAGCCCGTTAAAATATAGATATTTGTTTTCAAATTCATCGTCACGCATCAGTTTTTTTGTTTCTAAATCTATCCACAGAAGAAAATTCCAAGGGTATCCAGGTTGTAGTAATGAAGGCGAATGCGTATAAAAGAAATGTCAAAAGACGAGAAGAATGATGGAGTATGTTGCAGATAAAAGTATATACAAAGTACCGAGTAAGGGTAGATATGTTTGGCTCATAAAAGCGTTATAAATGTAGATGGTGACTGAGGAATAGTGGATGCAGGGGGGTTGGGAAGCAAGGTGATGGACGGAACAATGAAAGCACCAGAGGAGCCATCCGTGCTGTTTCCAAGAAGTGGAGGCAACATTCACTGTTTCACCGCCTTGACGCCCTGTGCTATCCTCGACGTCCTGTCTCCTCCTTACTCTGAAGACTTTGGGAGGCCTTCCACTTACTTCTCTGACTTCCCCATCCCTTCCCTCCCTGGTACTTTCTCTTTCTTATTCATCATGCATGTCTTCAAATCCAATCAAGTTACTGTGATCTGATTAATCTTGCGTGTATATGCACATGCAGGTTACGCTTGGCTGGAAGAAAAACCACTGCCAGATGACCTAATTGTGAAAGGAGCGCCATATCTGGGACCTCCCCTTGCAGCCGAATGCGATGTTTGTGAGTGCGGTTTCAGAAATTATGTGTGACTTGGGTGGGAATTAAGTAGTGTGCTCGGGCGGGTACAAGTATGCGTTGATCCCAAGTGCGGGAGCCCAAAACCACCAGATGCGTAATTTACTAGTCATTAGCTAGCTTCTGTGGATATGTATATCCCTTTAACCACAGCGATGACACGGCTAGCAAACTGAACATAGATCAGCCCCAGAGGTTCACATCCAAAACTATGCAATGTTAAATGCGTTGCTGTCCTCTGCCTGCTTACAAAGATAGCTTTAACATGTTGATCTTGGGGCCTCTTTCTACGGTCAAGAGTTAAAAGACTGTTCAAATTTAGCCACGTACAGCCTTTGGATTCCTTGTACTCCCCGATTTAAAAGTCTGTGTATATAGATAATGAAGTTTCCAATTCCAACGTGTTAATCGGTGCTAATCCTTCAAACGGCCTGCAGGTCCCCACCCTTTCATCATGACTAATCTATCTGGTTTTTTTTTTTTTTGGGGGCGGGAGCAAAATTCTGTCCCACCGGCCACGTGGTCGGTCGCCATCCAACGGAAGCTGTGTTTGAGAATCCAGTTTGATTAGATTCTGCATGTGATTGGTCCAATATTTACGTATATGTCCATTCGATCAAACGAAACACCCTATCTTCTTTAATTATATTTATTTATTTATTTGTTCTTCGGTTTACGAGTTAAAAATTTCGCGGCAAATCAATCCCAATCCGGCCCAATTTGTGTTTTATCGAATTTTTTGAGCGAGCCTGGTTAAGTTTTGGGGTTTTCCGAAACATAAAATATTGCAAGTTTGGAGAATCTTATCAACAAAGGCATATATTAATTAGTGATGTGATTTAGCACCGAGTCGGATACTTCTCTGTCCATTCTCACACTACAGCTACTATACTATGAATTTGTTTGGCCAACAACAACAATGCCCCTACGAATGATCTCGTGGCCATCATTTGTACACGCTATCGATTACTATCTTTAATCTTATTTATAAGATTTTGTTTATAGTCTACAAACAAAACTTTATAAATAAAACCGGAAATGGTATTTTCTTTTTAAACAAAATTAGTGCAATTGATTTAATCATCATCAATCATATTGCTTATAGTGCATAAATATTATAATTTATTATAAATTAAGAGTTTTATTGTATAATTTCTAATTCCATTTATAAGTCATTTTCAACATACTTCATATAGACTAAAAAAATCTTAAATTTATTTTTATTTAATATATATTATGTCTCATGTAAATGAAATAAACACAATAATAAACACATGATAAAACTGTATATTTATATAAAAAAATTTCATAATATTTTATAAATAGGATAAAAAATATTTTCTTTTTCTATTTTATAAATAGAACGAGATCAGCGTATTTGCATTGATAATTCGTTGTGTGACAATTAAAATTATCACTACTCTCCCATCGCGATGGCGCTTCTTTTTTTTCGGTGGACTGACCCGATGGAAGATTTATAGGGAATCTTCCACAACAATTATCCTCAGAAAAGAGAGAAATAGGTGATGAATGGGGACAACCTCGTAGTAATAGTACTAGTAGGTTAGGAGGAGCGTGCTTCTTTTCTCTCCCCCGTAGCGTACGGTTCGTTCTCCCGACAATTCTATCCTTCGTGGTGCTTATTTAACACGTGTCAATACATGCACATTGGAAAAATGAGCCTCTCGTTTCGCTGTAGTAGAAGTGTCAAAGACCGGCTTCAGTCAATGTGAACTGTGGAGTTTAAGACTTTGAGGAAATGCCAAAGCCCCACGCCTAATTGTTGCTTTCGCAGCTTTCCTCCTATTCGGAACCGGAAAAGAAATAATATTGTTAGTGGAACGGGGCGGTCTTCAGAATTGGAGTGATCGAAGTAAGATTTTGTTGGCCTGCGATTCTGGCAGAATAAAACATGGAGCGTTACGAGATTGTCAAAGATATTGGGTCTGGTAATTTCGCTGTAGCAAAGCTGGTTAGGGATAAGGGGACTAAGGAGTATTTTGCTGTCAAATTTATTGAGAGGGGCCACAAGGTCTGTTTCTTCTTATTCACCCGTTCAATTTCTGTTTGGATTTATCATTTTCGATGACTTTTCAATCTTCATCTTTATCGGCTATTTCTTTTTCTTTATGAGTTTGGTATCTGTTTAACTGTGGAATCATGTCGTCTTCGGTAACACAGATAGATGAACATGTGCAAAGGGAAATCATGAACCACAGATCATTGAAGCATCCCAATATTGTTAGATTCAAAGAGGTTAGTATCGAGGAAGGAACGCCTCGGAATTGGCTCTGCTTGCTTATCCTGACCCTCTTTAGTTGTAGTTCATCTTCATTGCCTATGTCATTTAAAATGTTCAATACCAATTTTTCTTGAGCAGAATTCTTTTTGGTGCCATATGAGCATGAGATGCATAAGCTCCTTTCCTATTTAGCTCCCTAGTTCGTTATTCTAACAATTGGTAAAGTCGATTCGGATTTTAAAATTCTCTTTCTTCCTTCTTCTGTTTCGGGGTCAGTGGCTGAATGCTTAGTTCCTCCCTTCATCCATATTTTCATCTGGAAACATTAAGTAGCTTTTGGCTTGGGGGTAGTGGTGCAAACATACCTCCTGAATATTTTACTCACCCTTTCAAAACTAAGATCATTCATGTGAGCTTTGATTACTTTTCTTGCAGGTCCTCCTAACGCCAACTCACCTCGCGATAGTGATGGAGTATGCAGCCGGAGGGGAACTCTTTGAAAGGATATGTAGCGCTGGTAGATTTAGTGAGGATGAGGTAATATGAGAGGGGAAGATATCATTTGATAACTTTATGTGGGAGCTTTTGTAGTCATTGATTTAATTATATTTTTATCTCGTATGAAATGTGTCCAATTTCAACGTAGTTGAACAAAATCCGCCTATGCTGAACCGTGTCTGTTTAGCCTTTATATACATCGACAAATGCAGTAGCTTTAATTCTTAAGGTGCACTTTTTTTTTTTTTTTTTTTCTCAGGCAAGATTTTTCTTTCAGCAATTGATATCAGGAGTCAGCTATTGCCATTCAATGGTAAGAAAGGAAGCATTCCTTTGTCATGAGCCGTGTAAATTTTCAATGCATAAATATTTATTAAAAGGAATGCTTACTGCTGCAGCAAATCTGTCATAGAGATCTTAAGCTTGAAAATACTCTCTTGGATGGCAGTACTGCACCACGAGTCAAGATTTGTGACTTTGGATACTCAAAGGTGGCAATGTGAACGATCACAAACTTTAGATGTTTCCACCTCCATCAAGCGATATGTTAATGTGTTTTTATTTTATCTTTCAGTCATCTGTATTCCATTCACAACCTAAGTCTACTGTAGGCACTCCAGCCTACATTGCACCTGAGGTCCTAACAAAGAGAGAGTATGATGGAAAGGTGAAGTCCTTCTTTTGTTTATTGCTTATCCTTGTTCATGGCTTCTTCTTATTTCCTAGGACTTTTGAATAATTAGGGCGATCCTTCTAGCTGTGCCCTGTTCTTTCTTTTCTGAGCTAGCCATGCATGTAATCGTTGACAACTGCAGATAGCAGATGTTTGGTCGTGTGGAGTCACCTTATATGTGATGTTATTTGGGGCTTATCCCTTTGAAGACCCAGAGGATCCAAGAAACTTCAGAAAAACCATAGGGGTGAGTGATGGTTAGGAACTTCATAAATCCTTTTTGTAAATTCCAGCTACATAAAAATGAGATTGAATTGTGTTTGGTTATACTTTCTGTATAATGGTGATTTAGTTATGCATAATGTGGCATTATGCAGAGGATACTTAGTGTCCAATACTCAATCCCAGATTATGTACGAGTTTCTATGGAATGTCAACATCTTCTATCACGAATATTTGTGGCCAATCCTGAAAAGGTACCGAGCACACCACTTATATAGGATTGAATGCATGTTCTCGGATTGGTTATTAAGGTGTTGGATCCAAGACTTGTCTCGGAGCACTGAGTCATTTCTGGCTCTACGTTACTTATTTAGTTTTGTTTTTTTAATGGGCAGAGAATAAGTATGATAGAGATTAAAAACCACCCGTGGTTTCTGAGGAACTTGCCCATTGAACTAATGGAAGGAGGGAGCTGGCAGAGCAATGATGTGAATAATCCATCGCAAAGTGTGGAGGAAGTGCTGTCCATAATACAAGAGGCAAGAAAACCTCCCAGTGTCCCCATGGTTGGAGGCCTTCTTGCTGGAGGAAGCAGCATGGACCTTGATGACTTAGATGCTGATGCAGATCCTGAGGATATAGGGACAAGTGGCGAATATGTGGGGTATATTTAAACATGCATGTAAACGACATGCTGAGCTATTGTTTGCTGTGCATAGAATTTTGTTTTTTAGGGGATTGAAGTTGTGTTCTTTGCTCGTACAGGAGGAATGAATGCGTCTATGCTTTTCTTTTCTGTTTGGTCAAGCCATGCTTATCTATTCTAAGGTGTTTACATTTAATTTTTATCAACATTCATGGCCAAGCCATTCTTATCTCTTCTATCAAGCCAATGCCCTTTTTTTTGGCTTGAAAAGCGAATACCGTATTTTCAAACAAGCAGGGATGGATAATTCCAAACTGCATACGGTTCTACTCAAATGCTCTATTGCGGATCTTGAAACGTCAACCTTGGTTGTAAAATAATATTTAGGTTTGTTGGCTTATGAAGGGGAAGACTAATCATGTCGAAAGCTTCGTTTGAGTTTCATAGTTCTTAAATCTAATTAAAATTAAAAAAATGTTATATTTTAGTACGTATTTTTTCACAAAGATAGTATACATTAAGCTTAATGACTTTTCAACTAAAATATTCTATAAACTTTTATAGAGGACATTTTAAATTAATTCAAAATAAATGCGCACTAAAATATATTTTTTGAAAAATAGAAAAATATTTCTATACTTTCTTTTTCTATACTTTCTACATTTAAAGGTTCCGGCCTTCTGCTACGCTGTCGATACTCGATACCTAGCGGTCCAGCCTTACACCAGCATAAGCTCCCCAAGCCATTGAAAAGAAAGGATGTCAAATTGTCACCCGGGAAAATAAAAAGGAAGCCGAATCTGCAATAATTTTCTTTGATTGACGGTTACGATTACCGCAACGGAGGAGCACTTTATTATGAATTCTCAAACAAAATATTCAAAGAATACATTAACATAGAATCCTATGGACAACCATTGCTGTTAACGTACACCTCCCTCCGTGAGATACCATAAAAATTAGACGTGCTTATTAAGAGGGCTACTACAATGTCTACTTAGGCACCGTTATTACATGCCCAAAATGGTCAAGGAAAGCCTTTGTAATTGTTCAACTCCCCCCACACTCTCAATTCAACCTCTTCCCATGAATCTGCCGATCTAAGATCATCCCATATGCTAAAAATAGCTCCCAAGACATCATCGTCATGCAATATACAGTAGCACCTGCAATCACGAAAAAATAATGAAATTCCAACAGTTGGTTTAACAATTGCATCAGTCCCTGAAACAGGAACAAAGCTGAACTTGTTTTCTTTGTGCGGGCACAAAGTGTCGATAAAGTGTTTTTTTTTTTTTTTAAACATGGGAAACATCTTTTAGCAACCTTCAAGGGTTACCTGAACTTACAGCAAGTGGCTATTACTGGTACACCAATTCATATTTTAAATAAAGGAATTAAAAAAATGTGAATTATTCATCAACGACAGGAGATCTAGCAAGCGAGTTCATTAGTAGTAAACAGCATGCAGCAGAAGCAGAATTTTGGAGACAAGTACTTACATGGCAAGATATGAAAGCCGACCAAATTTATCATCACTCTCCGTTGACTCATTCTTTGAATTATTAATTGCAAAAGGAAGCTTGTAGCTTTCTAAAAATAGCTTTAGGAGATAAGAATCCCCTCTAAATACATCTAAATAAATTGGTATCAAATCAAATATAGGATCACCTGCAAAAGAAGAGAAGAAAAACAGAGTGACTGGAAAATCAGGAAAGCATATTTATCAATGCAAATATGAAGCTACATACTGTGGAGAAATGTAACAATCACAATGGACAGCTCTGCCTACTAAAAGGCAGGCAACTCAATTTATTAATTCACTTAATTGAAAAATAATGAAACCAAAAATAATTTTACACCATAAGAGGGGTTCAAAACACGTATCTTCAACAATCAATCAATAATTAGTAATCAATAAATACATAAACAAATCATTAATACCTAACTGAAGGCAAACAGTCCACCTAGAACAATAATTAAGAAAATACTTCTTTATTAAGGACCAAATTGAAATTGACTTAATTCTTAGTAAAGAAGAGATATCAACCTATTGAAAGATCACTGAAATCAAGGATGTAGCTAGGGCGCCATGATTTCACATCTCTGTTTACACTGAGACCACACGAAAAACCATTGTCTACCTGCGCTCCCTCATCAGAAGTTTCACTTGAGGTAGAAACACAAGATGGTTCCATGTAAATGTTATCATCCATAACGTCAGAGTGTATCCAGGAGCATGGTTTACAAGCATTGCCCTGGGAATTTCAAAGTGAAATAAGGAGGGGAAATTACAGAGAACCAGTGATACAATGTTAAACAGGGACAAGTTAAGAAGAAACCTCAATTATAGTCAACATATTTGCCAATTGACGAGGGATATATTCATCGACCTTCTCTATCAATTTCTTAGGGATCGGGTCTCCCCTACAAAATTGTAGTGACAAGCATCAGGAGCCATTTTTCAAATAGAAGAGGCAATAACCCATGTTTATGATGCATATCAGCATATGAGCTCTATAGAACAATGACTCCAAAAAAAAAAAAAACAGTTGCACAAAACCACAAATGCAGAGCAATAAAACTCAGGAACAGCTATCATGCATGAATAAAGTACAATTTAAGCAAGCAGAAGTCAAAACAAAACTACCAAGGACAAGATATATTTGAAAAAATCATAGAAAGTACTCAAGATCATTACATCAGTAAACAAACGGTAAGCAACAAAATGCATTTCTTATGTATCTTCAAACTTTGTCTTCTCAACAAAACTATCACTAAGTGACCAAAAGAACAAATTGTACCACTTAGTCAAACGGCTCACAACATCCTTCCTCTTTCTTGTTAAAGTTCCCATGAAGATTTCCCACTCTGCTACCATGTTCGATTTATAATTAGAACTTGCAACATAACCATTAACCTTAGGCAAGCCTGAATCCTGTTCAATATCAGAGAAAGGTGAAATATTCAAGGGTGGACGTGGTAAAAGGTGAATGTGGCGCAACTGCTCTCCCAAGAAGGAAGCTAAGTTTGTTACATCTTCCCTTGATAGTCTATCTCTTCTGAAATTGAATGAAAATGAAGATCAGAGAACTATGCTTCTTTAAGATATCAGAAAATTAGATTGATATGCTGCAAGAGAATATTATTAACTGGGCACAAGGCTAACACTTACAACTCAGCAAATATTTTACCCTCACAGCGTTTTGTTATAATGTAAGGCCATATATTTGAGTGGCCAGCTGAACCAACTGATTCTTGTTTTGGCATCTCAGCATTCCTATCTTCAAACTGCATCTTGTCCCATACACCAAATAAGAAATCATCAACTCCAAATTTTTGCCTGGTTAGATCACTCTTGATGACAATATCAGGGGCTCCCTTTCCATCCCAAGGCAGATTGGTATAAGTTCCATCGTCAAGATAAAGAATCCCACTGGCCAAAACCTCAGGAATATGATTCCTAAGAGGAGAGTTGACTTCATGTAATATATTGTAGAACTGGAGCTGTAACATGGACATGTGAAAGTTAGATTTGTGTAGCTTATGCAATTAAGAAACAGATTGTTTACAAAGTACCTCTGTGCCTAAACCATGAAGTGCAGCTTCTAGCCCTCCTTCAACAAAGATTTTGACAACCGTGTTTCCCACAAGAAAAACCTGTTGAACAATGGAGACATGAGTCATAGGGAGGACAAGGGGGGTACTTCTCTCATAAGAATTAGAAGTTAGAAAGAGAACTATCTTGGAAACTAGAAGAGGTTCTGTTGGAGAAGCTAACGAAATTTCAAATTCCATATGCTACAAAGTTTCTAAAGGAAAAGTCTTTTCCAGGAAATAAGAATTGAAATCTTTAACTCATTTTGGATCTCACGTTTCACGTTTACTATGCTTAGGAGTCTTTCATACCTGTTCTCTGTTTTGTACACGACATACAGACACGGATTAATCCATGCTTAAGTTACTTTAAGCTTACAGATTGCAACCAACTCCTTTTTTGATAGATAATAAAACAAAGACATTGGTAAGGTTTCCATCAAATCACTTTTCTACAATGTATACTCATCTCTCACTAATTCTGATCTGTAAGTGTCTAGATCCCAATACTACAGAAGCAATCTCTAGATAATGGCCCAAAATGTTTCAGAATGTGAAGTCATACTTACAAGCATAAGACTTATTTAGTCAGGCACCGACACCTTGACTGAACCAATAAGTTTTAGTAATTCCAGTAAAATTTGTTTCAGTTCTGAAGCAATAGCAGGTCATAATCATTATTGCCGGGGTGCCAAGGACCATGCATCTTCATCTAAGCCTAAAAATTGGAGTAACCTAATCTTCTATTAAAAAAAAAGTAGTTAAATTCAATAAATGCATAAACAAAAACTCACAGGATTGCTACCCGTACCAACAGGAAGCTTTTCATCATCAAGGGGAGAGGACATATTGTGCAAGGAACAAATTTCAGACAGGCATTTGGACCACTTGTCAGCATTTAGTGCAATACATGCTCCCTAAACATGTGTTTAAAAAAAAAAAAAAAAGTCATTCCATCAAATAAGTTAACTTTGTGAGCTTAAAGAGTGTGTTCAAAGTACAAAATTACACCTTCCATATTAGCTCTCTCATCTCTGGTTTTCCAACCCAAAGTTTGGATAACCATTCTCTTAGTTCTCGTTGGCCAATGCTGTTGCCTGAGCTCCAAGGGGACCTGTAGTGGTCCCTATCTTTATCCAAAAACATGGATAAGAAATTTATATCATAAGAAAATCCATCTTTCCATACATTATAGTTTCTAGATGCACCATATTTTGTTCTTTCATTATTCAAATCATCTCCATCTTCATCATTTCTGGCTCTTTTCTCCCTCCTCGACAGAATGGAATAACTTGAATTCTGTTCGTCACAGAACATATTCTTTTTGACATCTTCATACCCATCATCATCAAGGGCTAGCAATCCAGCACGGCAAACTCCTTTATGACGATAACCAGGGGCCATATCCAAACATACAAATTCAAAGTTACTATAATTCACAAAATTCTGTGTGACAGCGATGGTTGTTTCCAAGTTTAGAACACAGTGCCACCATCCACTTGGAACATAAATTGTCTCTCCAGGTAGTTGTGTACACTCAATTGGCTTGTCTTCATCAGCAAGAAGTGGATAAAAGTCCAGCCACCACTGCGAACAAAGAGTAACTTGAGCAACTAAATAAATAAATAGGCACCAAAAAAT